CTTTTTTATAGTTTGATGTCGGCACGTAAACGACGAAGATTGTCAAAGCCGGAATTGATTTACGTCTTCTTAATCGTAAACGTCTGATTCGGGTTGTAAGTTGTTCGAATGAATCGATGTTCATGGACAAACTCGTGTTGACGAGAACGCCGACTCCTCTACTGTCGCATGTTCCGAGGAACAGTTCTTCTCCGGTGTCATTGACAGCGTTCAAGGCTGGCGTCTTCTCGTCTCAGCCAGGTCGATGACGTCGTACCTTATCCTTCTTGCTTGCATGAGCAAGCCTTCTATCGAGTACTCGGATGCAAGTGTACGTGCATTGTAGATGCAGATCGTCGCCATAGTTCTTCGTGATCCAGGCAGCTTCCATTGGCTCTGAGATTTTGGCAGCCTCTTCGTACTCGTCCTACCCAACGCTGTGATACTGAGGGTTTTTTCGGGGTCAGGGGAATGAGGACCGTTTTTTTTTACTGTTTAGCATTTTGACACCCACGTATAGTGCTGGGCTATGAACGTGGTGGCTGGGTATACTCACGGGTAGCTTGCCAGGCTCTCCTAGAGTGAACATGGAGCTTATTTGCTGGAGGCGACTGCTAACCGTCTCCCATATACTTCCCTGTCACTTGATTGCAGGCTTTTGGCCGAATTGACTCGTAAAATACAATCCGCATAAGCAAGAACGCACCCACACACGCATGCATGAATACGTCTAGCAAATACGGAAAGTATGTGCCAAATCGGTGCAACAGAAACAGGGAGTCCATCCCCTGGATCCACCTGCGTCTCAGGGAAGCAAAGGTCGCTTTTGGTCCGCGATTAACTCTCTATCCGCCACCTGGGGACGCGCCACGTAGCCTCGCGACTAACCCTCTCGACAACCCTCACATGAAGGAGATCCGTGAATGGGTGGAGAATGACTTGAAAATTTGGCAGCGTTCATTTTACCAATAGCAAATGTCTCATATAACTGATGAGACATTTCCATTCTTCGGAGATTTGCTGGTCTAGCTATCGTGTTCCTTGGAGTCCCGAGGACGGCCTAGCGAAAGGTTGCCCCAAGTCGTCACCGCCACACGCAGCCGCCACCCTTGTGGATTAGAGGAAGATTTGCCACCATGCGACTAGTTTCATACAAGGACGATTGTGGATCCTAGTATTGGTTTACACTTAGTCAGGATTCCTGATGGAAACGTCGGACTCCTTCTCAGCTTGGAAGACCTCACCGGGGGGATGAATCTTCATGCTATACATCGCAGCTCGACATCCAGGACACCCAGCCACGATGAAGCTGTAAACCATTGGGAGGCAACGAATGAGACAGATGTGACAAACTTGTGTATTGATGAAATCCCCATGCATTTAGAAGGAGAGTAGTGTAGCCCTGCAATATTAAAGCATTTACGACAATTCAAGCGAAAAATGTATCATATAACATGCTGTGGCAAAAAGATCGATAGAAATAGCTGAGAGACAGGCGAAACAAAGGACCCGCATGGTGTGGTGGTGAACGCGTTACTCCCCGGAAAGGACAATAGCGCGTTCGTTCCCCACCATAGACACCTGCGGTCCAGAGTTTTGCAAATATCTCAGCAACGTTGTGGTTGTCATATAACATAGTTAAATTCCAAAACCTTCAACTTTTTTGGTCAGTAGTTAGTATATAAGCCGGCTATCACGACGCGTATCAAAAAGAGCATGGGTTATTTAGCACGTGTCAGAAGAATCACATTACTCTGGGCCAATTTCAAGGTGTGAAATCGGATCTGAGCCTTTGCGGTCCATTTGCCATCTCTTCAATATGAAACAACCTTAATTCACCATGTCTTCAATTACTTTTTAAATCAGTAGTGAGAATGAACGAGAATCTGGACAATACGGTAAGAGCATGCGATACAAGTTACCGGGTTAAATGGGAAGATCTCCGCGCGGATATTCAGATTCAAATTTCGCGCCCGCTTCCACACAGACTGCATAGCTGCCCTTCGCGTGATCTCGGTCTCAGGCCGCTTTGGCCTGACGTTGTTGCGCGGCCTCGCAGCGGTTCCCATTACTCTTCATCGTACTTGTAAGAAATATGATTGTTTTCCTTCAAATTCCTTATTAATTTGATGTAATGCAAGTCATTTTGGCCCTACCACTGATTGCTTCATTTTAACGATCGATACGTATATTATGTACTGTACTTTCGGCGCATTACTTGGAATTGTGAATCGTGACATATCTGCTGTTCAGTGCTGCAGAAGAATGCCTCCTTTGGCCACAAATTCAAGTGCTGTCGTACAAAAGAAGGATATTGATAAAAATTCGGTATGTTTATGACGTGTTGGTGTACATTTCTTTCAAAGTGGTGTGTTATCTTGCAAAAAGTACTCAACTCTTTGTGTGGGACAGTTGCTCGTTGAATAGGAAGGTGACATTATCTGGTAAACTTTGAAAAATTTCACAATGGTGTCGTAGAAACAACTAGAGGAACTCAGACTTTGTTAGTCTTTTGCAAAGCGCATCCATTTATGCAGCTGTGGTGGTTCTTCTAGTAGAATATTGGCACCCTGAAGGACTGAGCTATGGTGAATCAAACCCATTAAAGCAGCTGCAAATAGGCTTTTGCTTCATAGTTATTTCACGTATTTCCCACTAAGTTGACGAATGTAGGGCATTCACTAGAAACTGCCATCAACAATTTTTCCGGGATAGTTTTGTCAAAGAAAATAGCATTGTAAACAGCGGCAAACCATGTCTAAAGGTCTATACCAAGACAGCACTAGTTCAACAAAATAACCTATGGCTTTAGTGGGCTGCTACATTTCCTGATGACATCGGGAACGTCTCTCAGTCTACCAAGTTTATCTCGAGTTGCGTCTATATTGCTTTCTACTACACACTCGTCAGTCGGAGATTGCTTTCGCACGTTTTCAGGAAAAGAAATATTTATGGTAAGTTCTTTAAAGATTAGTTTTGTTTTATCACTTATTTAATCTGTAATGTACAGCGGGGGATTTATCCTCCTGTAAGGGTCTCCCAAGCTGGGAAGTAGTCTGGGGTTTCCATGAGGAAGCCCAGCTAAGCGTAAACCAATAACAAGGTACTCCACCGTCCTGGTATCAAATTAGTGGAATAGTGGCAAATCTCCCTCTAATCCATAGGGACGGCGACTGCCTGTGGTGGTGACCTGAGGTAGACTTTGGCCTCGCTAACCTTGGAGCTCCAGGGAATCACAATAACTAAGCCAGAAAGACTCCGAGGAAATGATTATGCTGGGGCCCAACAGCCAATGAAGACGGGCCATCCAAGTATCTAAGTAGTAAACCATGACGTAAAATCTGTATACCTTCCATATAACATATTGCTGTGTCATACATAGTTCATGTTGGTGAATGTTACAATTACCGAAGCATAAGCAAAGTTTTGTCCTGATACGAAAACAAATGATGTCATACATAAGTTGCACAGTGTGCATAAATTGTGCTATTTCTGTCAATTTTTCGATTTTGATGGAGCGAAATTTTCCAGGAACGACTAATGGTTTACTTTTTGAAAGGGAAATTGCGTGTAAACCTCGTGCCTAAGTAATGAATTCGTCTGAAATTTTGGGAGCGGTTCTGCAGAAATTCTAAGGCGTCACGGAAGGTGTTGGGCAGCATTGCTTTCGTGAGTTGACGGTCGTCATCAGTCCTGCAGAAGAGGAATGGAATGATGCCATCGAAATGCACACTTCGAGAAGGCGCCATGATGTTGACGGTGAAACATAAGAAGGACTGCGGCACTGTGTCTTTGGAAACTGTTTCTCGTAGTTGAAAAAGTACACTAAATCGCTGTTTCAGACCTGTTGGCACTATAATGGCAGCGCTTCGATTAAGAGGTTTACAGCATTTGAAATAAAGCAGACAACAGAGCTTCTGCTTTTGAGCCGTGTATATAGAAGTCTGCTTGTCTTGGTACCCTGGCTAACCGAGGTTGTAGCTGTGCATATTCTGCTTTTAGGTATCAAAGAGTCATCTGTTTGTCGTACGTAATGATCGGCACGAGTGGAGATCCACTCACTGGCACATCGCGTAGAAATTAGGTGTCAGACAGATGCGTGAGTCACACGGTTTTAGGCGTCAGTCCGTAGGTGGTAATAGGCACGTATTTTCCTGTTCTGTATTTTCCTTTGCGATTTCTATAACGAATTTGACGAGCAGATTGCTGTCGTACAGCATGTTATTTTGATGATACATTATACTTTGAACGAATTCGCTATTGGTTTAATTAGGACATTCCCGTGTGGTATACAGCAGCTTCCTCCTAACGGTTTACCCCCTCATCGTAGCTAGGAGGATGTACAGCGGGGGCATTCATTCCCCCGGCAGGGTCTCTCATGCTGAGAAGGAGTCCGGCGTTTCCATCAGGAAGCCTAGCTACGAGTAAACCAATACCAGGATCCACCACCGCCCTGGTATCAAAGTCGCATGGTGGCAAATCTCCCTCTGATCCACATGGGCTGCGACTGCCTGTCGTGGTGACGACCTGGGGCAGACTGGCCAGAGTGTCCTCCTGATTCCAGAGAGCCACAATGGCTTAACCAGCAAATCTCCAAAAAATAGCGATTATACTGCGGGCCGCGCAACTAGTGAGGACGGGCCCTTCAAGTATCAAGTAAGTATTCAGCAACTTTAATCACCGCTCAGCAAAAGCGTTCTAACAATTCCCATCCGGAAGCACAGACTTATAAATGTTTTCGTCTATCTCGAGCAGCCTCAGCTATCTCTCAAACACTAACCCCTATTATTTCACAGTAATATATCGAACTTCACTGTCGTCGAAATTCCAGTTGTCATCGCCAGCGTTATCAACTTCGTGCTCTTCTTCATTAGTCTCAACAAGTTTTTTTTTGCATATTCTTAAAAAAAACAGTGTATAGAAATGTATGCTTCATATATGATAAAACTGTTATCGAAGGCTAATAGCGCTTGGTGGACAGGTTTTTTTCTACCATACATAAGGATTAGGAATTCGAAAACATGGAACTAAGCGTGGAAGGACTTGAAGGGTATGTAAAATCGAAAAAAGAGGTAGAACAACCGGATTACAGAGCCACCCCTTTGGGGCACGGCGAAATGTATGCATTCACAATGTTGGTTTTTTATTTACTGCTTTTTTTAGTAACTTTCACGGCAGGGCAGGTTTGCGAAACAACCACAGTGATGCTAAGATATTTGCAACACACCGGACCACAAGTGTCTGCGGTGGGGAACGAACGCGCTATTGTCCTTTCCGAGGAGTAACGCACTCATCACCACTCCATGCGGGTCCTTCGTTTCGCCTGTCTCTCAGCTAGTTCTATCGATCACTGCCACCTGCAATCACCCAAAACGAAGGACATGCATATTGTGGTGGTGAGCGCGTTATTCCCCGGAAAGGACAATTCATTCCCTACCGCAAGCACCTACAGTCCGTAGATTTGCAAATATCTCAGCATCAATGTGGTTGTACGCATTTATTTTAACGCAACCACGCATAGCAAAAATTTAAGAGCAATCGCGAAACTCAAATGATGCAGGTCGTACACATGTTCTTCGGTTTCCTCATTTTTTCATATCCATTTTGTTTTTTTTTTCGATAACTGTTGAACTCCGTCTCGTGAAGTATGCGGATAATCAAATAACGGGTTTTATTTTTCCTCGTCTTTGAACGCCCTTTAAGAAAGTGATCTAATGCAAGCATCGATTAATCAGAGTGTTTGTTGGAGCGGTACAACAGCAGAATTCCCTTTATTGTACTACATCGCTCCAAACGCGACAGGCTTTCCGAAATTTGGTTTTGCAGACGTTTCGTAAAGGGTGTGAAACGGCTAAATTCTGTGGACTATGGCAATCGGTATATCCATCTAAAGGTCACAGCTCCGAGGTATGAGCTGTTATGCTCTATGTGTCTCTCAAAAATCGTTTTGTTTTCATCTCTCAAACATAACATAAGTTACTTTGATTTTTTTTAGCCATTTATGCACGGAACAACGTTCGCTGATGTTGGCATGGGCTGGTACAGAAGAACCTAAAAGTGGAACAATGAACGGTTTTGAAGAATATAGTGAGGGGAGTTGTGTACCTTCAGAATTAATTGGGAATTTACACGGAATTTTGCCTCAAGTTTGTTATATTTCGCATGAGCCATTTTTTCTCACATGTGCGCTCTATTTGTAACGTGTACCATTTCAGTTCTGAAAATTGAAAAACGAGTCTTTTGCTCACTTAAAGTATTCTATCCGCCACATTAAAGGCACGAAATTCGCAGTACAGTCAAAGCAACGGCAAGAAGAGGAATCGAGGGATGAAAGATCTAAGGAGAATCAGTCACCCAATGGTGAGTCCGACACTCAAGAATCTGTTGGTGGGGAACCAAGTTTCTTAGGAAAGCTGAACAAAGCGACATTTGGAATTTAGAAAGGTTTGCTAGGTCCTGGAAAATTCAGATTCCTAATTGCCTATGACTTCAACTGTACTATCACATTTAGGTGGCGACTCATTTAATTCAAGGAATGCAAGGGGACGTGGTTCTGAGCAGCAAGATGAAACTAAGACGAAAAAACATTCAGCTTCCTCTTAGTTGTTAGCTGTACCACCTAACTTTATTCCGATTAATCTCGTGCATTAAACTGGTCACGATCGTCTTGTGTTTTTCAGATGGTATCGTTATCGTTAAGAGTTGCTTGATGTTGATTTCAAATTGCAAAGTGCACAGAATTTATGTAGGTCTTTGTTTGTCATTTGTATCAATTTCCACGATAAACGGTTACATATCAATGGCAGAGAACTGCTGTTCTCGTTGATGTTGCTCTCGTTTGCTACTCACTTGAATGCACTAATTCTTATTCATGTTGGTGCGTTGGAGGAACAACACTTAAGATTTATGCTCAGCATGGATTTGGCATCTGCATCATTTGACTTCTTAGAAACCAATATTGAGAGTGGTTGCGCGACATCGGCGTGCACAGATTTGGTGAGTAACGTAGACAGTCATTAACTGGTTTCCAGTGTTCTTTTGTAGTTTCTTAAGTGGTCATTAATTAGTTTAGGTGCTCGTGTCAGATGAAGATTTGTTTGCTGATTGTAATCCTACAGCGGATCGCTATGCGGAGCTATTGGGTTTGGTAGAAGCTCAAATAGAACTTATCGATCGCCATCTAGATGAGATTGAAATGAAGCGGAAGAGACTTTCAGAAAAAAAGGTGCACTTCCTTCTTTAGAATCAAGTTTTGTGGTACTGATATCTAGACGCTGTTGTGGACAGAAAAATCCTTTGAATAGCGATGATTTGTGTAAATTTAGTCAGTGTTGGAAAAGAAAATAGTGGAGCAGGATCAGCGGCAAGACCGTCCACTAAGGAACAAATTTCCTGTTACTCAGTATCTTCCTCCATATTTCAAGGACGAAAATATGATGGTACGCCATTCTGTTTCCTTGAAATAGTTGTATTGTAGTCTGTGTGATCACGACCACTTCACCGTGAACCGTAATGTAGTTTTTTTCAGTGCCCACCTCTGAACGAAGAGGCGAAACACAAACTTGAGCACACTACTTTCGATCCTCTAGTCAAAGAAGACAAAAAATGTGGGTCAAGTTGTTTTGCTGTAAGAACTGTGGTTATTTCAGTCTGCGAGCCTTATTTGTTTCCTTAATAATATTGTTGTTTCAACTGTCTTGTGATTTCTTACGGTGTCCCATACTTTACATTGTGCATTTTGTGAAATCCTTTATTATCTACAAGCTTCATCTTTTGGTGCATCATATGTCGTGGCATTCGTTTATTAGAACATTTATCAATGCCACATACGAGCCATATCTTCGTAGATAGGAAAGAGGCAAGAGGATGGGACTAGTGTATCGTGGGAATCATATATAACTCATTTCCTTTGTGGCTGCTTGTTTTGTTGCACAGCTTCTGTTGAAGGCATGGGATTCGAGAGAAGCTGTATTCTGCACTTAATCGCTTGTAAATATTGATTTTTCCGACGGATTTGCTCTTCAAACAACAATGTACTACTGGTTAAGAAGATACGAAGATGACACATGAAGGGAGTACCAGGGTGTCGCTATGTACCGCCGCATGAACTCCGCAAGGGTACAGTCTTTTTTACCAACAGAGTATCAGAAGGATTACTAACAATGAGGGTTGTTGCTGCGTATGCATGGGTAGTAGTAGGGAATATGAATCACACTAGATGGGTCAAATATGATTCGTAGTTTGTACAGCAAAAAATGAAGAGTGGTCTCCTGTGCCCACCGTTCAAAATTGGGGTTAGGGTGTAATGTCAACACATACAATATGATGTATTCGTCGATAATAAAACCGACAGATCAAAATACGAATGGTTAGCCCAGGAAGGCCATCTCTACACCTAGTGACTTGGAAAAAACGTCTTTTCGGGCGAGTTCATTGACCGATATTTGGACTTTCAACTAGTTGTCATTTCATTCTAATCGCTATGGTTAGTCATATTTATTGTATGGAATATGTAGGCATAGAAAGTAGTGGAACGAATTGAAAATAAGGTTCCAAGCCCTTCTGAGTGCTGACAGCAATGTATCTGCAGGATGGACTATGCTAGCGTACAGTTAACAGCTTGGATGCAATACATACTCATAGAGCGATAGAGCAAAGTCTGTTCTACAATGTTCTCGTATTCATAATCCCTCAGGTCATCCAGTTATCGAAAAATTATTGTTTGTTGTCAGAAACCAATATTTTCGTAAAGGCTGAAAAATTATTCGTTTCCATTGAGTCAGACACGAAATGACTCTCGTCACTAATGAGTTAATGGCCCCCGAAGTTCAAATTAGCTTCTCCTTCATGTGATGTAATGCCTAATTTCACTTCAATTGCTGCCTTGCTAGTTCTCCGAAAATACCCGTTAGTTTTTCGATAACTAAAGCGCTTAAGGAATTGAGAACACGATGGGGTTATAGAAGAGACATTGCCCTATCGTGCAAGGGTCATTGATGGTATGCATGCTTTTACTTTCTATGTGTTACAGTGCTCCACCAAGTAACCTACCAACATTTGGAAGTTTTTGTGATTCCCATTGAACCTATTGTATATTGAGCTTATTATTCCTTATATCGAGGCAGGGATGATTAGTGATGCGGTCGATCTGGAAGCAAAGGCGCTAGTTCGTCTCCAGCCCCAACGCTCTCTTCTAGTCCACGTGGGAACGCTTTAGCCCTGCTATTACCAAAATTTCAAGGAGAATTCATTCGACCAGCATGCTACGACATTCATAAAGAGAACGGAATCTTCAAGCAACAGCTGTAAGAAGACGCAAAGTGTTGGACGACGGGATGATGACGGGTCACGCAAAGAAAAAAAAATGAAGTTCTTTATACATGCACATTCTGTGCGATAGCCTTGATTAATCATAGCGACTGGGATTAAAATAAAAGTGAATTGCTTGCTAAATCAACGTTCAATGAAAAAGTTCGAAAAAACGTTTTTCGTAACATAATATGTGTAGGGAACAACTTTCATGGGCTACACTTGACGTAGCGCTTGCACTGAACAAGGTACCGATCAAATGCAAAGTGTATAGCAGGAAAAGTTTGTGTAGCGAACTAAATACGGAGGATGCAGTGTTATTTGCTAGCGCACATGTGGGAGTAAATTGCAAGGTGTCCATTGATTTGGATGCATTGCTTTCTGGGTTTTGTTTTGCCGCATGGAACTCCTTAGCTATGTTTAGATTCAATTACAGCTTATCAGTGCACATGTAGTGTCGACGAGGTTATTGAAAAGTTCTTCTTAAAAGTTAATCTATTTGAGACATGTGAACTGATATGAATTGACTTCAACGTGTTTGCTGCGAAAATAATAGTCTATTTTGACTTCAACACATGCCAACATGCCTAACCTAGCGTGGGGATCGCTCGAAAGTACATCGCCCGAAATCTGCATTGGGGCTAATGCATGGAGCCCTATTTCAAGTCACCAACCAAATTTGCTCCGAAATTTGAGTTTTTCAGTATATCCAACTCCTTTGATTTATAAGAGGACTGTTCTCCATCCACATTAGTACCAGCCTTCAGTAAGGTTTTGTAAGATGTTCAAAGCATAATTCGGCGTTTTTTTTGTTTTTACATCAAGCATTTCTGTGTAATGTAGGTCGCTACAGGTGACTGAGATGAAATAACAATCAATTTAGTGGTTAGAAGTTGAGCTTTTTACGTTTAAATCATGTTGGAGGCAGACGAGTTAAGTTTTATTCTCATTTGTATGCTCATTATTAATGAGCGGATGGGATCTCATGTGCTACCTTTAGACACAGAATCTGAAGCGTATCGAAAGATTACGACTAGGAGGGTAACAATGAAGTCGATGATGGTGGTACAGGTGACCAGCGCACTGTGGTGCTTCACGACCAGTGTGTTCTCGGGCCAGCTGCTCCAGCATAATGGATAAAGCTAACAAATTTTTATGAATTTTTTATGAATGGTACATGAGAACTTCTTGTTAGAAAAAAAATATGGGTGAGAAAAGATTGAGTTTTAAGGAACAGTTCTTGAAAAGATGAAAAAGTTAAATGCACAGGACATTCTTAGCTTTATGCATATTCTACTATAAATATTTTTGAGTAAAACCCTTACATCTTTAGTGAAAGGTTTGGAGAATAAGAGATCAGAGTCTGTAAGGCTTCCAGGGATCCACACTAAACATTGATGAATGTGCATTCTACGCAGACATAATGTCCTCTTACATATTACGGGTATATATATATATATATATATACAATATTTTTTCGTAGTTTTTTATCAAGTACTCTAGTAGTTGAAAAATTCGCATTATTTGTTAGAAAACACGGTTAGTTGCAAAGAGGTCGGTGATCCAGTGTATTTTTTGTAACATGACTTCCGTCTTGTTGAAAAATAGGTGGAAATAGTACATATTCTGGAACTGACAACCAAATGGAGAACTCAGTGGTTGGATAAGTCTCTTTTACCACGGTAAAATGCTTAAAATTTACCAAAAACATGGAAAGTTACATAAAACAACATGGAAGATCACCTGTATCACCTATAGTTCGGTTGCTCGTCGAGTGAATCCAACGGGCGCCATTTTTCCCAGTCGCGTGCAAGAGTAGCTCAGTGGGTTCTGCTCGCTCTAGGGACTCGTCGAGCATTATATCTTCCTTTTAGGTTCTTCGTGAAGAAATCTGACCATCGGGTCGGTGGTCTTCCTGCAGTACATTTGACATCCCGAGGAATCCAGTCACTAGCAGCTCTTATCTATCGGTTGTCATTCATACGCATTACGTGTCCGGCCCACCTTATTTTCGACCACTTAGCGTATAGAACGGCATCTTTGATTTCTGATCGTTGACGCAGCTCGGAGCTTCGGATCTCTTCCCTTGCTTGCGTGACATGCTTACATTGAGGATTCGTGAGGTATTTTTAAAAAAGTTGTAGAAAACGGCGAAAACATAATACGTGGATGCCGGCTTATAGAATGAAAAACATAAAAGGTATCTTGTAATTAGCGATCGGGATTGTAATTTGCGGAGACAGATCAAACCTCACGTACTGAGTTCGATGCATTACGTGCGAAGAAGTGTTGGGCGTACTCCACACGATGCCCTCAAGTGATCAGGCGTTGTTGCCAATATGGTGAGAAACGTGTACAGATAGGTATGAATACAGTAGGCCTGGCAAATCATACTATACGTGGTTGAAAAACTTGTCTTTAATAATTCGTTCTATTGTCAAGTGTTACCATGCTGGCACGATAGTTAAAAACATTTAGGGACGTCCAATGAGCTACGCTTACTTCGAGAGTCTGTGGAAAATTCTGTCATACAAGCGGGTATCCAGAAATTCATTGACAGGTCCGGTAATTCCGGCCGATGTGGTTTCGTGGTTACTCTTAATAAATTCGTTTGTTATGTGGATACTTTTTAACAACTAGTTTGTTTCAGGAAGCAAATCATACGCTCCAAAATTCTTCATGCGGGCGTTGAAAGCACAAGTGAGGAACTGAAAGCATGGAAAGAAGAAATCGAGGCTCTCGATCGCAAGATTAAGTATTGGCGTGCAGGGCAAGTAGATTCGCGAGAAGTGGATGTCGTTGAATATTCTTGTGTTGACTGGGTGAAAATGTCAATTGCTGAAGTCTGTTTTACCTTGACATTGTACACCTTAGTACAAACAAGCATCCGTTAGTTATTTAGCTTAAAGGACGCAGTGAATTTTGTTTCCACATCCTTTTGTTGAGATACTGCATCTTTTAAAGAGTATTCAAGGTTTAACAACCATAGAGCTGTTGTTTTCAAAGGCAAATTTTCAAAGCGTCGTTTCTCACAAGATAATGCTTTTCTTTAGTTCAAAGGAATTCGGTCTGCTGCAGCGCTGAGGTACAAATGGTTAAATGAACAGTGTCCACGATGGAATAGCGGGCCGTGGACGAAAGAGGAATTAGAGCGGCTTAAACAACTTCGTGAAGAGGTTTCATTCTTTTACTTTTCCTCTACTTTCGTTTTTGCTTACTCTTTAAGAGATGCACACTTAGAAGTCCTTTACATCGTGGGCTGCGCTTGCAAAAAAACTTGGGACCGACCGCACTCCATATCAGTGTTTCGCGAAGTATCGTAGTGACATATTTAGATCGACTAAGTGAGTTTAATGAGTCGGTGCCTATTAATATTCACTCTTCATGTCAATCAATTTGTGAAGAAACATCTATTTATGTGGACGTCTTTTTTGCAGAGAATGGACTAAAGAAGAAGATGATCGTTTGGTTGCTCTGGTAAAAATTTTGTCTGTTAATGGCACGGTACAATGGGACAAAGGTAGGTATTTTAGTGCCGATCTGCCATTAATAGTTTTATATTTTCTTTTTTACACTCGACATTGTCTTTCCCTCGTGGTCTTTTTCCAAGCGGTAATTATTAAAGGTTGTATCTTCGTTCCAGTTACTTTCTACATGCCTGGACGCAGTCGTCAACAAGTTCGTATTCGATATCAACACGATGGAAACGTTCGACATGGTCGCTGGACTGATGATGAGGATCTCGTACGTGTTAATCACAGATTTCAACTATTCTAGAACATCTTATAAGTATCTCTAATTGTTCTACAATGTACTTCTTCATTTTGATGTATTTTTTACTTAATGTATCTTTCCTATGAAGTTGCTGATGTCAGCTGTAGCGCGGTTGGGTGCCAGAGACTGGGCAAAGGTGGCGAAGTGCGTGGTAGGGAGATCAGATGCTCAATGTAGAGAGCGGTTTGTTCGCAGAATTTCTGTGGAACTTTTCTAAAAAAAAGTCCCTGTGTGTTCTTATTCATCTTTTTATTTACAGATGGTGTAACGTCTTGGAATGTACTGAAACAAACGACTGGACGGCTGAGGAAGATGAGCGGTTGGTTTTTGGTGTGCAGATGTTCGGAAAAGGTTGGTTTCATAGAATACTGTGATAAGAGAGGTGATGGAGATACTGGATTATTTTGCGAGTTCTGAGTAGGCTTGCTTCTATAGAACTAGTTTGCTAGCGACTGTTGTTATTGCAGGACAATGGGCAAAACTCGCAGAGATTTTGCCAAGGCATAATCCAGCAGACATTCGAAGGCGTTACCAGCGATTATTGAGAACAAAAATGAGAGTGAGTGGTTCACATAGATAAGCAGAGAATGGCAGGCTTCGTAAATTTTTCGACTACCGATCTAGCCTTCATTTTCTTGAGCGGTTATCCATTCGGATATATTTAAATGTCGTCAGTTCATCTATCTTTTTCGAGGTGTATATGTGACTGGACTATGAAAATGAGTTATTCATAGGAGTTCTGAGCTGAGAAACCCTCGTCGATGCTGGGCACCCTCAAATACTTAGATACTTGGATGGACCGTCTTTACTGGTGGTGCCGGCCTCAGCATAATTTACATTCGTTTCTCTCGCATAATCGTCCATGGCGGTGGTCTGCTTCCAACATGATGACGTCCACAAGGTCCATTTTGGAATCTTAAAACCGTTTCTATCTGCTAGTGTAAGTAGTTGACGTTAACCACCAACACGTCCGTACATCATTTGGGTATTCAGCCAAGAGAACGCGTTCATCTACTCGAAGTACACTCTGTTGTTCTTTTCGTTCATTTGCCTCTTATTATATGAGCAACCGATTTGTGCTTCGCTATGGATGTATACACTCCTGGTTATCGGACTTGGGATGGGTTCTGAAGGTTTGAGCGACGTACTCCGGCTGAAAGTTATGAAATCCATTTGAACTTCCGAAACATCGTTGCAGCACTCTATGGTTGGTGTGTAGATTTTTTTGACGTAGGTGAAGTGTCAGCCCACGTCTCTGCTGAATAAAAGGATGCTGTGAGGGCTGTTGAGTCGAAAAACGAACGCGAAGTTTTGAATCCGTTAGTTGCTCGGCGGTCTCCTTTAAAAGTACTGAATGGACCACATGCTGCACTTCTTTCTGTCTTATTGCTCCATAGTGTTCTGCGAGTTTATTGAACATCCAAGGTACACGAACGAGGTGGTCTGTCTAATGAAAGAGCTACCCAGTTCGATTTGTTCGACTTCTACTTCATGAACCGCGCCCTTCTCCTGTATATGGGCAATCAATCTTTTTTTTCCGTTTCGCCGTGTTCATTGAGAATTTTCTCTGCTCTCGGAAAAGAAAACAGTGGTATCCACGAAACGAAGATTTATTGGGAATTTTCCATTAACTCGAATGTCTTTGCATTCAAGTGACTTCATCATCGACAGGTGTTGGATATGCTGACTGTATTTCTGAAGTGTGCAAAAGTGATGCAGAAATCCATCAGCATGATTGATATGTCAGCCTATATCTTATCAACATCGTAGAACATTGGAAAAGCTGTTCAACGGAATAATTGGGTATGGAAATCTTGCGGAGTTATTTTTTTCGGCGATGACTTGTTTATAAGGCATTTACGCCTGCCGTCTGTAGCAGTTTTTATTTCGTGTGGTTTACAACATCTTCTGAATATATCAGCCGCACACACCATAAAGGTTTTGTTATGCAATAATTCGTCATCTCTATTCATTCTCGAACACATAAATTATTCGTCAGTTATAAGTTGTACTGATCTGTTGAGAGTGAGACATATCAGCTTCTTAGGTCGTCTAACCCTTCGCGTGGAGTCTGCATCAGTTGCACTTCTCGAGAAGGTGACATTGTTGACAAAACGATGGTTCAACGTATGACAAAGCATCTGAAACTGCTCTAAAATTTCTTACAAAGTCATGGGGAACTCATGGAGAACTTTTTTTTCAAATTAATCGTGAAAAGTGGGGGAAGGTCTTTCATAGTTTTTCAACAGTCCGTTACTTTTTGTGTGCTCTTCTAGGAATATGCAAACCTCATTTTAAGGCTTGTTCTGCGGAGCTTGTTGGCTATCCTGTGGTGGGTAAGATGTCTTCAGTGGTAACAGCCGTTCATAAAGCGAAGCGTGACGTCGTAGGCTTTTAACTTAAGAAATCATTGCACGAATATTGTTATCTAATCTCATATAGCGTTACTATTTATTATTTACTAATTTTTCCTTTTCCATTTTCAACAATGCCTTTGCTGCTTTATAAAACACCGATATATAAGCTGCGTTGTAGAAAATATTCCACATTAACTAGTATTTACTTGGATACTTGGATGGCCTATCCTCATTGACTGTGCGGGTCCCAGTATAATCTCCATTTTTCGGAGTTTTACTGGTTTAGCCATTGTGGTTCCCTGGAGTCCCGAAGCCAGCCTATCCGAAGTCTGCCCAAGTCGTCACCCTTGTTTATCGGAAAGAGATTTGCCACCACGCGACTAGTTTGATACCACGACGGTGACGGATCCTGACATTGGAGTCTTAGCTGGCCTTTCTGATGGAAACGCCGGACTCCTCAGCTTGGGAGACCTGCTGGGGGAAGAATCTCTCCGCGGTACATCGCAGGCCGACACCCAGGAACACCTCCCAACCACGATAAGGCGGCATACCGTTAGGAGCTATCAACTAACATTAATTAAAAATATGTTCAGCTGACAGATAGTAATATATCCTTTGCAAATGGAAAATTGGAAATCAGTTTTTATGTCCTCATACCGTTCTTATATTCAGAACTAAACGTCTTCCAGAGGCGTCAACAATTCACGGATGGCAGTCTTAAAGGAAAATTCTACCGCGCTGCAAAAGAGCAGGCTGAAAAAAATCATAGCGCTAAAATATCTAATGTGGTAATTTTTTTGGTTTTAGCACTCTTTTTGCTAGGTTTAACTACCGTATTTGATCAATATATTGCAGTAAGTGGTCAAGAGGTTAATGTCCGATTTCAACCCATGTTTCCAAAGTTGCATAACTCGGCTGAAAATAAACTTTCTTAATCGAAATAAAAAGCATTAGAATATGCAAATTTTTGCCAACACGAAGCAAATTTGTTTACGGATGAAATTTTGGACCTGTGGAGTAGATGAATTCGCTGAAGGCAGCTTCGACCTCGGCTTGGTTTCTGAAGCGTTTCTGGTACATCAGAGTATTGAGCTGATTGGAATAAAGTATTTGTTCGGCGAATGTTCCGGCATCTTTTTTTTCTCCGGAGCCGCATTGTTCTGATTCGATGAGCCACACCTGTTTGTGCTCCTTGTCGCACCGAGCCGAATCCAATAAAGTGTGGAACCGATTGGATGAAAAATCTTAGTCAGCGGTACCCTTTTACACAGGGCAGATGTTGGTCGATTCCCGTTATTTGATGACATATTCTTCTTTTGCGGACAATGAGTCCTGTAGCTGTCAGTAGCACCCTAGGTGGCACATAGCGTGCAAGTGCGTATCTAGAAACCTATTGGTCATTGCTTCGGATCAATCCGGTGCTGTAGAAGACAAAACTTCGAAACCTCAGTCGAATAAATATTTCATACCAACCTCGTTTCTGCTCGGTAATCGAAGGTGTTATTTATGCGGAGGTCAAATTAAAGCGGATTTTTTAATAGTTGTCGAGATAAGAGTTTCCAGTCGATTGGCCAGTATCTGGTTATTAGAGTGGATGAGAGGTAATTTCGTAGCACAGCTCTTTAAACTTCTGCAGTGTTGGCAGTGCGTGTCACCGCACCTTAGCTTGAAAGAAAACTGCTCGCGTTCTTTTCATCAACGGGGATCTCAGTCGTTGAAGATTCTTGGTGCATTTTGTAGAAATACTATACGTGCTTCTTCACCATAGTCGTTCCATCTTGATTAAGGATATTGTGATGGATGAAACCAGCAGACGTTCACCACACGGTCTGTGTGATCATCTCTTAGTGCATTTTCGGCTTGTGAAATGCTGGGAGCTTCACTGCTACGCTAATACTAAGTGAATCGTCGGCTGATGTCGTGTAGAACACATATTTTGTTGCTGTTTAAAATACATTTAAAAAAATGGGTCATTCTTTGCGCAGAAAAAAACCCCGACGATACATCAAAACAGCGACTTCTTCGATTGTCGTTCAATTCGGGCGCTATCTATTTTCCGAACTCCTTCGACATTTTCATTTTCTTGTGATGTCGCAAAACACACGAGATCCGAACACCGAGTTCTCCAAGTTCTCAAACAGTTGTGGGTGTATCTGCTCTCATGAAAACCTTCAATTCAGCTTTTTCAGTAACAGAAGGTCGTCCGAAACTTCACTCATTGAATTCACCAGGACGAAATTTCTCAAACCTACCTTGCATAGGTGTGCTTACGTTAAAACTGTCTTGGTTTCGTACATCATCAATGTTTCGAGCTGTTTGTGCTGTGTACAATCGAGTTTGAATCCGTAGAAATAGATTTGTCGAAATTAATGTTTTGAACCATTATAGCCTGTCGAAAGCAGAATTTTTATTATAATTCAATTACACAGAGCAAAAACGCGTGAAACATGGTTTTCTGCGATCTATAGAAGTAGGCTATTCGAAAAGAGAACTACTGATAAAACGTAAACAAAAAGAAAATTGTAAATCGGACGTTAATTTCCGAGCAACCTTATTGATAAATTTGAGCACTAAGATTATTTTGTTAAAGCGACAAGGAAACAAATTCAGTGATGAGGAAAAAACTTTGCTAGAAAAAGGAATCGAGGTAGGTTATATGACTTGCCATTAGTTTTCCTTCGGTCGAATGGGTTTGTTTCAGGAAATTACTAAGAAGTTCAGAAGTAGCGATCATACTCCATCTGCAACCGACGTGATTAAAAAGATTAGTTTTACACGGAAGTGAGTAACCTGTTACTCCTGATACTTGTCAGTAAGAGGATTTTCAATGGCTTTTGCATATTTATTTATTGACTCAGGCACTAAATACGGTTTTTTTCCAGAGAAATTAGTAGAATAAAAGCCGCAGCACACAAGTATGCTACTGGCGAAAGACCTAAACGAATCTATCATCAAATAGGTGTAAGTTTGAATGTAGTATTTAAATGTTTTATATTTACAAAGAGCTCCTTCCTGTTTTTCTTAAATTTTAGGGGGTTAAAAGGATAAGAAAGAATATGGATTTGCTTCCCAACGCTTTATATGAGCGGACTGTATTCGGACCAGAAGAGACAGAGGTAGGATGTGATTGACATTAGATTAAGCTGTAAGAATTCGTCGACAGTTTTTGTTCAGAATTTTCTCTCCGTATGAAAAAGTGTTCGCGATCTTTCGAGGTATGAAAATATGTTGTGGAACATTCTGTAGTCTCAGAATACGAGAACCACATAAAAAACGGGAATGCAACAGTAAAAATGGATGTTCGATATGTGCTCGCCCTTATGACCAAGGCGCACCTGTTTCAACGCGTCATGTGTAGTAGTGGTACTGCTACTGGATGGATGACATTTTCCTATCCAAGTGTTTTGACTAGTTTAGCACCAGTTTTGAAATTTCTTTTCGACCTGACTGGCCATTTCTGATGAGGAAGAGGACAAAATTAACTCTATCTAGTACACGCAATTTCGTTCCATTGAATGCTCGACACTATAGCGGACCAGGATCGATATGACCAGAGGTCACACCTTGACATGTATGAGAACGGTTTCTGTTGCCCTGCAGTGATTTTCTGACTTATCTGAAACTAGGCCATCGACGAGCAAGCTGGTGCTGTCCACATTTTCTGGAGTTGGTCGTGCACCATCTGGGAGTTGCCGAACCACGTAGTTAACGTTAATTGCTAACCGAAGAAGCTAGACGAGATCGCAGCAATCGTATCTAGTGTAGAGCGAGTGAATCAGTATATCAGTGAGAAAATAAAGCAAGTAAATCAACCTAGAATCCGACTATTCTATGACAGGATTCGGTGTCGCATGGTCGACTTGCAGGCACCGCTTCAGCACTCTGCCTAGCATACAGTCTTTTTAAATAAATATGCCTACCATACAGTCTGTTTAAATAAATAAACGTTGGATAAAGCCTGTAATGAAAATGAGGTCAAAATCTGAAAGAGTAAAAGCAATAGTAGTGGTAACCACTCTTCAGCTAGGTTACGGCTCATGCATACAAATCCTATTTGACATTTATGCGTATACACAACCCATCGTCCGAAAAATTCCTGGCTAGATACAACACTGATTTCAACGCTGCTTGACACTGAAGTAGTGTTGGACGTGTATGCGCAGATCCGATGGCGATTATTAACTGCTGAATTCAAAATTGACAGAGTAAATATGGTTGTTTTCTTACTCCAAAGCCATAGATTTCCTAAACACTACCTTTTTTGTATAATCCATATTGATTACATATTTGTGGTCCTACTAAATTATCATCTGTTGGGAACTTTAAGATTGAGTTCATTCAGGAGGAACGTATCATTTGCTTGACAAAAGCACTGTGTCATGCCGTGCATAAGTACGATCAATACGAATGGTGCAACAGATTTTTCGCGAGTCGATCTGAACCTGAGAAGGTCGCGTCAAATTTTGTTACCGGCGTAAGTGTGTTTACAGTTATTCTTCTCGGAATTTCGATCGTTGATTTTGTAGATTTTGTCTACATTCTCGCATAAATTAACGCTTCTAAGGTAACAACATTTTACGCTCACTTTCGTTTGCCGTGCTCGACTGCTGGTATCGTAAAAGTAGGAATAGCATGTCTAGTATGCAAAACGATGACGCACTCTAATAGCGGTTGTTAGGATTTTAACTTGACTATCTTCCTGTTTCTAGATGCTTTGCAATCGTTGCGTGGAAGTGGCAAATAGTTTAAAACACTGCGCACCGCTTCCACTAGGAACAACATTGCCTCCGACATTCACCACCACATCGGCTTATCGTGTCTTTGAGGTTAGAAACAGTGGAAGTTATTGAGGAAATCGTAATTAACTGCAAATAAATACTGCTTTTAGAGGGCTCGCTTGTCGTTGACGAAGCGCACTTCATGTTATTTTTGTCCTAGTAGTGTAGATGCAATAAATACTTCGGCGATGCCTCATGGTGACGGTGTGGATGAATTTACGGTAGGTCGTGAGTTATTTTAGCATTTGCGGACCTACATGAGTTGAATGAAACTCATATTTGGTAATGAGGGAGAGGGAGTAGATTAAACAATATTGATTGATTTCCGATCATATATTGCTGAAGAAGACGTGCTTTTCAGCGTTGAACAAGCACTTCTCGTCTCCAATTAAACTTTCTCATTAAAAAGCGGGGTAATCCACACGACTTGTAGTCATCCAGATACACGTTTTATTATTCTAAAATGTTGAAATTCTGGTTTTTTTTTTTGAAGAGCCGGAAGCAATTGAAAAAATTGGAGTCGTATGTAGTAGAGCAGTCTCCGAATGTATTGCCCATGCTTACGGTTATCAGGCTTATTTTGGTAATTCAAAAGTTTTAGATTGCATCTTCGACTTTTTCTTGCAAATTTGGGACTTGAACAGTTTTAAGAATAAAACAACGTTTCGAAAAACTGTATAGAGAAGGATAAACAAAGTAGGCACAGAGGTGTATGCGTTATTACCCAATCTAGCTATTACCATTGATGCAAAAATAGTTGTGTTTTCTATTTGTGAAGCCTAAGAATTATTTTGCAATAAATATTTGTTTTTAAAGTTTAACTTTTTTTCTACTACCTGTTATTTGTCCACGCAGGATATTATGTGAAATACAAGCGCAGTGATGCTGAGATATTTGCAAAATTCGGAACTTTAGATGAACTTCAACTGGCCATTATTCGTTCCGGGGTCTCACATTTTTCACTGGACCACCGAAATCCTCGCTTTCCCTTTCTTTTATCAGTTTTTTTCCACCGTAACTGTGCTATCAGCAAACAGCCTTCAACGGGAACGATTTGAGGAGCACAAAATCGCCATTAAACTCAGCTAAGTCGGTGCAGCGGATAGCTCGAACCCTCGGAAAGGGTAATCTCGACTTCGAAGCTCACCCGGAGTTCCGAGTATTGCAAATATCTAAACATCACTGTGGTTTTATATCATGTGAAACTTTGCCATGGAAAATTGATAAGCACTAAAATAAAAAATTGTATACTGGTTTAGAATGATTTCATACCAGTTTGAATGATGCTTTCATCCCATGAGAATTGTATCATTTTACTTGACGTGTTCAAAATGACACATACCGTAGGATGGCACCTGAAATTTTACCAAAGAATTGGCTAGGGAAAGACTTCCTTTCTTAAGGATATGAATCTTCGTCACAGAGAACGTCACGAGGTGTTATCGTCGGTTAACGACGCCAATCTAAAGTACAAATTCGAAGATGCCCAAAAACCTATTGAAAGACTGCGGAGAAATCAAACATTCACAACTCAGCAATCGTTCATCAATTATGAGGGATAGAAAAGGTGAAAAAGCTCAATAAATGGATGTTAGATGAAATGAATGGATGACAGCGATTCTCATTAGAAAGAATGTTTGCATTTCTTATTTTTCACCACGAGAACAACCCATTTTTTACCACTTTTTAATGCATGATGAAACATTGGTTCTAAACGACAACCAACTGCGATGGGATCAGTGATTTGGTTAGGATGAAGTTTCTAAAGTTTTCCAAAGCGTAATTTTTAAATTCAGAACTTAACATGAGGCACGACCGAGCTAAAGAGGTGAGTAGTAGGAAGTGGGTATCTTGAGAAGTTCCAAAAATATGGAGGATGCAATAACGAGGATTGAGAACACTTAATATCGTTCCCAAATTTTCGCCTATACGATTCTTTCTGCCTTAAATGTACCGGATGGAAGTCCTGTCTCTACGTAATCAAGTTGAAAGATCAAACGCGCAGTCTAAACGACTATGCTGGGTATATCCCATACCATGCAAATAAGATAGGCAATCCGAAGCTCCGACCTGCGTCTTGATGCTTGATACTTGGACGTCCCGTCCTCACTAGTTGTGCCGCCCCCAGCGTAATCACCATTTTTCGGAGATTTGCTGGTTAAGCCATTGTGGTTCCCGGGAATCCCAAGGACAGCCTGGCCAAAGTCTGCCCTTGGTCGTCACCACGACAGGCAATCGCAGCCCTTCTGGATCAGAGGGAGATTTACCACCATGCGACTTTGATACCAAGACGGTGGTGGATCCTGGTATTGGTTTACTCTTAGCTAGGCTTCCTGGTGGAAGCGCCGGACTCCTCAGCTTGAGAGACCCTGCCGGAGAACGAATCACCCCGTTGTACATCGCAGTCCGACACCCAGGAACAACCTCCCAGCCACGACGGTAAACCGTTGGGAGGTGAGGCCGACCTACGTCAATAATCAAAAATCGAGGACACCGTTCTACCGTTACACCGAATTGTCGAAGGTAATGCAAAGGTTGAAAGATTTGGGCTTCGAAATAATGCTTCTTTCATAATATTTGTCAGATCTCTCTCATCGACTGTAACTTAGACTTAACTCAAATGTGTTGATAACTAGTAGTTAGGGAAATCGTATCTAGCTCCTGCAATTTGAAGAGATCATCATGCCCAAAACATCAGAATTTTATGTCACCGAAATTAATAAACGTGTATCTTATTGACGAAAAATTGTAGATTCCAACGGTTCTTATTTTGCTGTAAAGTATATTTCAGATAGTTGTAGTGTGACTCGAGGTTCACCACATTGCTATGATGAGCGAAACATTTGGAACGTGGATGCTTGTTGCTCAAATGATCTTAAGTGAAATTTTCTAGGTATTTGATCGAGTGGATATCCAACTTCATCCTGATATTTTAGGAGATGATAATTATCTTAAACTGAAAGTGAGTTGTATTCCATTAAATGTACTCTTGTTAATCATTACGAGACGATGTTGGCTATTTATTTACTGTCTATTATAGTTTTTTGCTGCACGGTATTATGTTAATTACAACCACAACGATACTGAAATGTTTGCAACACTCCGGACCTCAAGTGTCTGTGGTGGAGAACGAACGCGCCATTACCCTTTCTGGGAGCTAATGCGTTCAGCACTACACCATGTAAATAAAAAGTGAACATTGTGATTTCGATTGCAGCCCACACTTAACTGGGTTCATCGCCGATTTGGGTTTCTCAGATTAATCGCGTCGACAGGTGACTGCTGATGGCACCGATAGAAAACTAGCTAAGAGACAGACGAAACGAAGGACCCGCATGGAGGATTCCGGAGTTCTGCAAACATCTGAGCATAACTTCAATGATGCTGAGATATTTGGAAAACTCTAGACCGCAGGTGTATGCGGCGGGGGGACGAACGCGCTATTGTCCTTTCCGGAGAGTAGCGCCTTCACCATCGCACCACGCGGGTCCTTCGTTTCGCCTGTCTCTCAGCTAGTTCTATCGATCTTTTGCCATCAGCAATCACCTCTCAGCGGGATTGATCTGGGGGCCAAAATCAGCAACGCTACTTCCCGGAAGGGACAATAGCGCGTTCGTTCCCCACCGCATACACCTGTGATCCGGATTTTTGCAAATATCTCAGCATCATTGAAGTTATATTTCACAATGTATACCCTGCCGTTAAAAAGAGTAGGCAGTAAATAATAAGTTAAAATCATCTCAGCATAATTGTGGTCTTTAGGAGATAACTGTATCACAACTTTCTAGGCTCAAGTGCGTTGTCTTCTTCGTGAACCCATTCGTCTGGTATTTGCAATAGATCCTCCTGGTGTGGAACAGCAAGGAAAGAGGGTGAGTAAATCACCAGTATTGAAAGGATGTTGACCTATTTAAAAATCGAAAATCGGTTTTTTTGTAGAATCGGACGGAACTCATCCAGACGGTAATGGAGGAACAGGAGTTTCCTTATGAAGAACACGGGGTATTATTGGTTTCTGCATTTACTTTCTTTTTACCATAAAAATTGTCTTTTTCTGAAGGAATATTTTTTGAAATAGTGATTACAGTTATATTATGTGGAAAATGAAGTGGTAATTAGTTCCACTGAACATTGCGGAGCTATTGATTATGAGGACCCCGTCGATGATGCCCTTAACGGGACAGTACATACGGTATATTTTTTACTTATTCATTTGACTCAGAGGCTAATTTTCGGCGTGATCTCATTTTGTAGGCTAGAAATGAGCAAAGCCTTGCAACCAGATACTGGTTGGCAGCTAAACAATTAAACGTGGAAATACTTTCTTACTTAGTTGGATACTTGGACGCCCCTGTTTACAAGTTGTGTGGACTACAGCACATTTTCCGTTCGCTTCTTTGGCTCGCAGTCGTGGTCTATGGTCGTGGCTTGATTTGAGCATAATGGCCGGTACGAGATTCAAACCGTAAAACAACCACAGACGCGAGTGTAGCTGATCGAATTTAATTATGAACACGTCTGTCCAACGTGTAGGTGGTCGTCCTCGGAAAGGACAGCATCGTCGTGCAGTTCACTTTACAGTTCTTCTCGCCCATCTGTCGCCTGTCTTCTCACTATATGACCGACCATCCATGACGTGTTCTGATGACTCTCGTAGATGAGATAGATTTCGAAGATTAGAGCTTTGCATTTCAGTTAGATATTGTTTGTGCCGATTGTAGTCTAGAACACATCCTTCAAGTGCTCTGTGAGTAGTGCTTAATATTGTTGACGTGGTTCAAGTATCAGCCCACTCCTCTGTGGCATAACAGTGTGCTGGGACTGTTAAATCTAGGAGATGAGAGCGGATATTCAGGTCGTTTGGTCGGTCGATGGCGTCTTTAAAAGGTCGGAATGCTGCCCGACCTCCTATTCTTCCTCGGCCTAATTCCTCCTTTATTTTTTTTGCATGATCATTGAACGTTCAATGCGAAATGTTTCCTATAATCAGGGAACCACTAGATTTGATCTGTTCGCCTTCTTTTCGTGGGTTTTTCATGAACTGGGTCTTCCAACTTATGTGTAATCCGTTTTTTTTTTTTCCGTTTCATTGAGCTGGTTGTCGTCTCTGCTTCGTAGGTATTTCTTGAGAACATGACAATGTCGTCAGCAAATCGATGATTTGATGGTGTGGTAAGAGGCCGATGGAAAAGTCGTATTTTCTCAGTGCAGTTCCGACAACAGTCAGACAAGGTTCTAATGTAGCACGACTCCACTCCTTGGTTGACGAGCTCTAATAGGATTGCATTCGTTCGGCACTCTCACACTCTTTTTCGTAGTCGACAAAAATGAGGACTAGAGGCAGGTGACACTCCTGACAAACTTCAATGACTCAGGACACGGTTTGGATCTGGTCCACACAGCGAAATCCTTGTCGAAATCCTGCTCGCCTCACTGGTTGCGCCTCATCCAATGTCCTTGATATGCGTGAGAGGATAATCTTCGTGAAGAGCTCGTAGAGTGCACTTAACAAGCATATCGGACAATAGTTACGAAGATCCCTTCGGTCACCTTTTTTGAGCAGGATAACCGTGTTCGACGTCCTCCTTTGGTCTAGGAATTTTTCCTTTTGAAGGTAGGCTGTCCTATGGTTTGCGAGAAGTACACGTAAATCGTGTCTTCCAGCTCTAAGCAAATCGGCGGTAATATTATCGGGTCCTGCAGCTCTGCCTGTTTTCATGCTCTCTATGGCAACTCGAACCTCAAAGAGTAAATTCCTAGGTAGCTTTTCTTTGGAGGGTATTTTAGGTTTTGGGAACGGGGTTGGTAGAACGGAAAGAGTTGGTGTAGAACTTTTCCGTCATTTAATTCCATAGCATTGCGGTAAGTTTCGGTGATCCCATCTTTGTTTATCAGGACTGACATCGGAACATTGTAATCGCACAAGTATCGATGGTATTTTCTCACACTTCCTCTTTTTTGTGCCTCTACTAGTAGTTTCTTCTGCCTGTATTGATCTAGAGCTTCCTGCAAAACTCTTATGCAACTGGCATTTATTACAAGCCGTGTTGAACATGTTGCAGAAGGATTAATCTTCAGTTTTTTTTTTTCGAACAACTCAGTCATAATGGAAATGCGATATGATCTTACTGTTCAAGGAACTGAGGGGAAGTCGGCACAACTTTTATCAGCGGCGGCTTTGTTGCTTCTGGAAAAAATGAATTTCATGCAAGATGCTGCTGCAGACAAGAGTTCTGCAGGGCACTTCTCATTCTCATTTTTCACTCCTGCTCCAAAGTTTCCGGTCCTGTATTCGCTATCGTTGGCCTTTCGTATTCTGGCGTTGAAGTATCCGGCAACAAATTTATAATACGCCTTGTCATTGCGGATAACTTCTGTATGGCTATATATATATATATATATATATATATATATGAAGATAAATGTACATATATATACATATGTACATATATATGTGTATATATACATGTATGTGCATGTCTACATATATATATATATATTATGCATCATATATATTTATAGAGAGAGAGCGATAGATAGTTTCCCATGTTTAAATCTATATTTTAGAAATAAATATATTTCACGTACTTAAATTTACATGTTAAATACTGGAACACAAAAACATTGAAGGCTTAAAAGCACCAGGATGCTGAAGAAGAAATATGAAGAAATAAAGAAATATATGAAGAAAACTCGGGACCTCAATTGGGCTTCGAAACCGTGCCTAACTTAACCGCGTGCTGATGCGTTGTCCACCACTTCAACTGATGCCGTTGCCTGGCTTTTTTAGGCCATTTTTTTTTACTGTATCTATCAGTGCTGTCAGCAATGACCCGTCAACGGCGAACACATAACCTGCCTTAAAAAAGTCAGTGTATAGAAGTTAATACTAAAGACTTGCTTCTTTGTACCAATGTTCGTGAGCATAATTTTAGGTTATGGATCGAGTTTTCAATCCCCCCCAAAAGAAGAAGTGTGGAAGACCATCTAAGAGAGACCGACTGTTTCGCACTTTATTCATTTCGGAAAAAGAATCGGATATTCGTAAAAAACGAATTTTACCTCCTCGTTCAGCGAAGAAAAACAGGTCGGCGTTTGCTGGTGGAAATTCTTCTGATGTTTATGATTTGAAATTGGACTCTGAAAACAGTGTAGATGTGTTCCCGCTAAGATCACAAGTAAGTAGTTGAAGAATTATTTGCAAACGCTACCTTTACTAAGATTAATGTTAAATCATTCTTTCCAGAAAAGTTATTTGCGTAATCACTTCAGAATGGTTTTTGGAAGCTAGAACTCTTGTGTCGTTAATTTCATATGTAGTAAAACGTATCCGTTTTCCATAAATGGAACTTCATTTATATGTTGAAATGTTTTATTAAACCTCTGTACAGCATGGGTTAGATATCCACTGAATTCAGCGTCGTCAAGAATCAATGGAAAACTTGGAAAGATCCGTAAACAAAGGTATACTTCAGACTAGTGTAGCAGAAATTCGACAAGTAGCAAATACGTCTACTTAAATATTGCTGCTTTTTTTAAAGGTTCTGTAATTGTTGTTTTTATAACGGGGTTGTATAGAGAATTTTCTTAGAATTAAGACGTTGCAGCAGGTTTGCAACGACACTGATCTTTCGAATCATAAACGTGGAGGACTAAAGAAGCAGTAGCGTTGGAGAGTGCGCAGGAAATGCAGATAGTTGAATCGCAGTCAAAGCGAAGAAGGGCATTAGAAAAGATGGCATAGCTGGTTATGATTTCAAGTGATCTCTAATGAATTTCTTAAGCAGAACTTTGCAATTTCTTTATATAATTTTTTTCTCTGCATTTATACCGAGTTTCGATCTTATCTTTGCTTCTCTACATCTTCTTTTTTGATTCATATTGTTTATCATGTTGTTGCTGTTTAAATGTTGGTATCATGTGATGTAAAAAAACATTTTTTCAAGATAAGTTTTCTATTATAGCAGATTTTGAACTCCGAAAACTGCACAACCCAAGAACAACACAGATGGATGTCCCGTAGCCTTCTTGATGTACACATGCTAAGGTGAAGTCTACTACAGCTTTCTTAATCGTATTTGTGGTCTCTTTATAAGGTTTGGGCTGAAAAACAGATCTTTACGGATTTAAATCATTTATAGAGCTTCTGGTAGCAACAGTCTACGCTTAGCGGCGCACTTAGAGCCTATTATGTTAGCTTTAGGAATAGATTCCGAAGCTGTTAGTAATTGCATGTAATTATCATAATGAATGTCAATTCTGGACCACTTCCAGAAAATACTTCTGATTCCTTAGATTCAGAATGCATTGAGCATGCTGCTTTCAGATATTAAACCTTAATTATAACAAGACGGGGATGACTGGATTGGACGATGAGCGGATAAGTAGAGTAATTGAGTCAAATAAAAATGGAAACTACTCCAATTTCTCCAAGAAACAAAAAGAAAAAAGCCGGTAACAGAACTACTGCTTCAAGAAATTTCTAAAAGAAGTCTCTCCAGTTGAGTGGGCGAAAGCTTAGGAGGAGGTAGACTTCTTTCAAACACCTGTCTTCTCAACGAAAAAAATGCTCTATTTAATTAGGGATAATGTGTTCAACAATACTTTTTGACCAAATAACGGTTGCTCGAATAAGTACATATAACATCTTCAATGGGGAAGAAATCAGTTGAGGAGGTACCCGGGTAGTTTGGGAAGATGGTGGGAAGTGCTGGTGCTCATATTTAATTTCAAGTAGTACTCTGTACTACACAATTTTCCTTCGTAATTGTTTCTACGAAAATTTTACTTAAAAAATTATAGGAACTTTAAAAATGCGAGTACTTTCCAATTAGTCTGCACATGAATGGATTGAGGCGCTAACAACACTTTGCTTATGTGTACCTTGTAATATACCATTATTAGGGACAAGAATCTGTATAAGTTATGTTTTACTTCCATGAAACATGTACTACAATATTTATGCTTTGCCCTATCTTAAGTGGTTTCGATAATGAATCCAGTAGAGCAATTCATGCTGCCAATTTGAACTATAGGATAACCAAGGGATGATTATTTTATCAATAACTTCATCTTTCATATTTATTAAGGTAATGTAGAAACCATGGATCACCCTCACATGAGGGATCTCGAGCCGGTTATTCACGAGGCTACGTAGCGCGTTCCCAGGCGGTGAATGGGTGGAACCGCTGACCAGAAGCGACCTATGCCTCTCTGAGACGCAACTGGATCTACTGGATCGACTCCCTGTTTCTACTGCGCCGATTTGGCACATACTTCCTGTATCTACGAGGCGTATTCATGCATACGTGTGTGGGTGCGTTCTCGTTAGTGCGGATTGTATTCTACGAGTCAATTTGGCCAAAAACCTGCAACCAAATGAGAGGGAAGTATATAGGAGGCAGTCAGGAGTCTCCTACAACAAAAGCTCCATGTCCATCCTGGGAGAGACTGGCGAGCTACTCGTGAGTATGCCCAGCACCAACGTTCAGACAGCGATGTTATGCTCTGAGAGTCTCTAGAACGTGTAGAACTCACTGGGCTACACTTGCACGCGACAGGAAGAAATGGAAGATTTACTGGCGTCCGAACGAGTCAGTCGACGATCAACAGAGAAACGATGATACAGATGGTACAATTATCCCATACTGTTCTTGTAAAAAAAGTAGCCAAACTTCTCATTCTGGTCTTCATTCCTTATGATCCTTTCTTATCACTAGTTTGCATAGTTTTACAAGACGTTGGCTTTTTTAAACTTTCCTTCGAAATATTATGTAGTGATACCACAAAGTTCTCTTTTTGATGCGGACTAATGCTTGATGTATATGAATACGTATATACACGTATATGTATGTATATGCATATATAGGTACGTGTATGAATGCATACATAACATGTATATCAAATATGTATATACGTATATGTGCATGTATATATGTTGCATATTTCAGGTGTGAAAACGGTTAAGTGTGTGAATGAATACAATGAAAATGACGTCACAGAATACAAATTAGGAGGATTCGGTTGACGATGAACACAAACCGGATCATCTTCGTGATTTTCAAAATCGTTGCGTATTTATAAAAGTTTTCCATGTCAAGCATTCACAGGACGTAAATTCGAGGCTAAGTATGGGCCGGAACTGATTGACGACCATCTTCATAAAAGGAAGACACATAATCATTTCCTGGCTGGGGATTTTTATTTCCGTCAGTAGTGAATGGGTAGGTGGAGCTCGTTTGTCAGGTCAATTGCCGTGGTACAGCTAGCGGCGCTGTACTACTTGGTGAACACCCTCCAGTGCACATTTGGCAAACACACTCGCTTATTCTCCGTTAACAGCATTGGTCGAAGTTTACAAATTTTCCCCTCGTTTACTGAACTTACACTAGTAAGACGTTGAATTCTTCAATGTTCTGAGTCGTTCTACATGTGGTCAGGTTATTGCAGCTTACTGTAACATGAGAATAACCAGGAATTTCTGGAAAATGAACGCGGATCTTTTTTCGCGCCATTACTATTCAGTGCTTGGGACATGAATCATTTTCCTCACTTTTCTTTCTGCTCAGTTGTGGCTTTATGTGGTAATGAGCTTTGACATAGTGTTCCGTGCATTGAAATCGGCTATCTCAGAGTAGTAAATATTGTTCATGTAATGAAAATGTAAGAGTAGATATATATAACTCATTTTGGACAGAATAATTCCTTGCGTTGGTTGTGAAAACCTTTTCCTTTCATGTTATGGGTTGAGCATAGGAAGCACGGTACTGGTGGTGCCGTTTAAAACGAGCAAGGGTCTGGCTCGTTTCCATCTCGGGCAAACCAAGTCCGTAAACCTTCTGGATAAAGAAATTGGAATCATACTTTGCGTCTTGTGAAATTGCTCCCTATCATGGAACCAGCATGTGGTGAAGATTTGAGATCGTTCCAGCACGGCTTTTCCAATGTTCCCGAGGAATTCAATTAAATCAACATTCGACAGTATCCATTAAGGTGCAGAAAAAGTGCACAGGTGGCCGCCCAACCACAAGCAAAGTCTAAAGACCTTCACAGACAGCGGATGCGAAGAAATGAATCGAATCCAAGAAGTGGCGGGACCAACGCAATATATGTGAAAAAGGTCATGTGAGAAATAAAGTAGGATTATGAGGAATTTGCTCCAAAATGGATGGGAGCAAAAGAGGATAGAACGTAAGTTAAGTCCCTCATCTTAACCACTCGGCTACCTGGTCTGACACAAAAACATGGTGCGATAGGTAGCCAGTATAGAAATCTTTTTGCACACAAAATGTATAGGTGCATAACAAGAAGTAGCAATGTGCGTTCACACTATGTCTGCTTCAACTTAACTTTTCCACAGCTGAAGTGGTCCGGTCATTTTTCTTAAATGAGGTAGCCGTCGTGATAGCTGTCAGAATTTACGAAGAAGATGTAGGTCAGGTTAAGAATGCTATTTGAATCGACCGTATAAGTTCCTCTGAACCGCAAGTGGATCACACAGTGAACTCCATCCAAATGAGTGCTATTTATCTGACACGTCAATTTGGCAAAAAAAATGAATAAAATTATTCAGAAATACGTGGGCCGTGTTTGTGGATTTCCTCCAACACAGAAATTCTATATCCATTCTAAAAAGTCCAGAAACATGCTAAAGAAATATAATTACCTCATTCGTGGTACTCAAGGGATACGTTGCACACTGATGCTGGAAATAAAATGTATGATGGGCTGTTAAAGCTTCGACTTGACACTGAGCTACCAAGTGTTTAAAGTGAAATGGAGACTAGCTGTACTTACAGAACACGCAAGCACGAAAAAGTATGTTAAGAACGTGGCTATGGAAATTTTTTTTACACCATTCACACAACCCGATCTGATATATCGTTTCTTTGCAACCGTACACAGCAAAGGTCTTCGGACTCGCATGTGAGCTCGGTTGCTGTTCAAAGACTTTCGCTCTTCCCAGGATCGACTTTCTGTTAACCTCGGCATTGGATTATTAGTTTTGCTCTTCCTCATGAATGCCTTTGCATGCTCGTGGAGTTGGATATCGTCCTTGGATTATGAAGATTATGAAGATCGAATAATTATGAGATCGTCGGACTAGCCGAGACGACACAATATCGCCTACTCTGTCCGGCACAAGAAACAAACTGTTTCCTGTGGGAATGCGAATATCGAATAGTTGGATATATTATTCCGTCACGCTATCTCTTCGACTGCTATCGAAACCGAACACCTGATCAATTTGCTGCCAACTTTTGTCAATACAGTGGATCGGTTCGACTTTCTGCACGTTGCTTAGCAGAATCTGCGTACATATGCAGTAAAAAAGTGTAACACCAAAGATAAGTTGTTGTACAACATGGGCGACTTACACTACATCAGCAGGTGTGCTCCATAGTTTTCTGGCTGTCATAAGAGATGGTACTGTTTATCACAATGGCAAGAATAAGAAAACGAATAAAATACGTATATGTTTGAAAAAGCCGACTGCCACGACCTCCATTTTGACTTGGCCATGTGTCAGGAATGGGTGTGCAATACACTTGAGGCATTTTAGACAAATTTCAAAAAACCAGAGATGAACCGAAAAGATGAATGCCCTACTATCACACGTGACCTGGCGCCTTATTTCAAAATAATTTTTTGACCTGGGTGGATCTCATTCGTCATTCCACATAAACAACATTGGTAGTGCAACACAATGGTGAGTAGTTTTTGACCGATATGGCATTCATTTGCACTTTAAAGGATCAAAGGATAGAGCTCTCAGCGTTGATCAATCCTTGAGGGATTTGTCATGCATTCGACTTCATTAAGTATCGTTGGAGATGATTGAATGCATGTCTCACTTTTACATTAACATGCGGTGGCCTACCGATGTATCGAGTCACTCCTGCTATCCTCCAACGCAAGGATGGCACCGGTCTGCCAATCCCCAAATGATAGAAGCCCTGGTGTGCATGGGACGCAGGGATCAATCCCATGTGCGTTGCAGTGCACCTCCAACCATTGCGCTACACACGCCGCTATTATTTGTACGCTAGATTTCCATTAATACCATGGTTTTCTTGCCGAATTATGACGCTATTACAACAACAATAATGCTGATTTGTAAAACTCCGGATTGCAGGCGTCTACAGTGAGGAACGAACGCGCTATTACCCTTTCCGGGGAAAGGACCCCCATGGTGTGGTGGTAGACGCGTTATCACCAGAAAGGTAATAGTGTATTCGATTCCCAGCGCAGACCCCTGTAGTCCGGAGTTTTGCAAATATCTCAGCATCGTCGTGATTATAATTCATGTAATACCCTGCAGTGAAAAATTCTAGTAAGTAATAAATGAAAACAACTGATCCATCAGCTCAACAAGTGCAGTTCGTAAAAACATATGTATCGGTAGATGGATGAATAGTTTGTTGATAAATGCTTGTATCAACTAAAAAGAATGGGAGGCACAGTTACAACGTCTCTTGACTTAATGTGCGTCAGTACACATGAAACACAGTTGACTCCATTCATGACGAGTGATTTTCACTGTGTGACTAGGTAGAGTGCCGAAGTCCTTACTAGAATTGAATAACTGTGACATCGATGAAACTAATTAGTAAGTAAACCCAACTGAAGATAGAAACCACTTGAATGTTAAGCGAAAACACCGAGCGAAATTAGAACTCCTACACAGTTCACTTGACAACACGAAAGACTTTGTCTACGTTTGAAGTGTTCGACATGCGTCAAACCATAACTTCAGAGTCCCGTTGTCATAAATTGAATTAGTTACATGTGAATGTTAAAAACTGTCCTGGTGCTCAACATCATGTATGTTAAGTTCGAAATCATCAGGTAGATTGCGAAATATAACTCGTATATAATGCTGAGATATTTGCAAAACTCCGGACCGCAAGTGTATGCGGTGGGGAACGAACGCGCTATTGTCCTTACCGGCGAGTAGCGCACTTCACCACCACACCATCCAGGTCCTTCGTTTTGCCTGTCTCTCAGCTAGTTTTATTAATCTATTGAGTTCTATTGATCTATTGAGTTCTATTGAAGAAAAACGCAGTAAATAAAAGGGTTAAGATTGTGATTATAACTAAGCTTCAGCTTAACTGGGTTCAATGCCAATTTGGGCTCCCCAGATCATTCAAGTTGACGGGTGATTTCTGATGGCAAAAGATCAATAGAACTAGCTGACAGACAGGCAGAACGAAGGACCCGGATGGTGTGGTGGTGAAGTGCGCTACTCCCCGCTAAGGACAATAGCGCGTTCGTTCCCCACCGCATACACTTGCGGTCCGGAGTTTTGCAAATATCTCAGCATTATATACGAGTTATATTTCGCAACATACCCTGCCATTAAAAAGAAAAAATCAGTAAACAAAAGGGTTAAGATCATCAGGTAGAATTCGCACCACGTGCTCAACAACAGCTTCAATGAAAAGGATGGTATGAGTGTCTAAATTCCTAAACCTCCCTATATATTTGCAACATATTTGTCTTAATCATATTGCTAACAGTTTTTCATCATTCTTTAGCAGCTTACTGTGAAATATTTCAAGTATTCAGTAGTCTTAGCATTTCTCTCATATTCTTTACAACTCCAACTTTTGGATAACTTTATAAACTTTAAAAAATTTATACGGCGCGTGTGGTGCAGTGGTTGGATGCGTCACTGCGACACACACGTGGAATCGATCCCCGTACCAATGGCCCACCAAGCCTACCATCCCTCCGGGGTCTGCAAATTGGTATCAGACTCGTCTGAGAGGATAGCAGCACTGGCTTGATACATTGAGCTTTATCCTTTATCATTTAAGACATATATGAATCCCACTTATTAATACATTTTCTACAATATTAATTATTATCAATATTAGATTACTTCTATTAATCATCTGTATCACTTGCAGTCCCGTTGGTCGTCGAGTGACTCGAGCAACGCCAGTTAATCTATTTTTCCCTGTCGCTTGCAAAAGTAGTCCAGTGGGTTCTGCTCGGTCTAAGGACTCGTCGAGCATTTTTGTTAATACAACATCTAATATAATGAAAAAGTACATTTTCTGTTTTTCAGGGTTCGTGTGACGCAGTGGTTAGAAGCTCTCTCCAATGCACACGTGGGTTTTGGTTCGATCCCAACCACCGCGCTCATCAAGCTCCATCTACCCGACGTCAGAAGATTATTCCCAGACTTGTCTGTTAGGATGGAAACACTGACCTGATCCATCGGTGGGCAATGACAAATTGTATAGGCCAAATATGCATTAGTTTAACTATACGATGCTTCAGGAGGTCGAAAACATGATGGAGCATCCCTCAAGGGTTGATCGACGTCCAACACTTTATCAGTCGTGTTTTGTTAACAATTCTTACTATGATATTGAATCCTGATTAAGTATGGTATCCATGGATTCCTGATATGACAGAACGCCGCGCTATTCTCGGCTCAGGCATGTTCACAGACACAATAGGAAATCTTGTACTAAATCAGTTAATATTTCTTGTTACAACTTAAGCACTATTAGAGTTTATCCATTTAGGTTACACTAGCTAAGATTGCATTTTTATTCAGCTCAATAAAAAATGATGCTTATTGCGTTCATCCGCAGCATACGTACTGCTGAGCAGTACTGCTGTACTCACAGTGGCTATTAGCCGGACAGCGTGAATGCAGACAATTGATGGGGGCTCCGTTCTCATACATCACTGAGTGCGATGGATTTGAACACTTCCCTAAAGATAACTAGTCCAGTACTGTATACTTCGCACTGCTCAGACTAAATCATAACTTTGACTGTGATCATGTATGTTACAGTTTACCAAAATGTGCACGTTTTACGACAGTTCCTTAAGGCACAGAATTACTAAGGCTCCAAAAAGGTACTTTAATCTTCAGGCACAAAAATGAACCGTAGGTGCCACATCTACACCGGCCACTCAACTTCTAGGAAAAAAAGAAAACGAAGACGATTACTCCATGGTTGATTTTATTTATAAAATTCGTTTGAGTAGCTGAAAAGTTGAATAGGCACACAGCTGCGATCACATGCTGGCTTGCTGCCTACAACCCACCTGGGTGACGACATACCTGCATGTTTACCGACGTCCTCCCGAGGCCTGCAGCAAAAGTATTGTCGAAGACGTTGATTTAGTTGACAATAGCTTTCAGCTGGGCAACTTTTGACACGGCAGTTGATCGGTTCCGTAGAACCCTTCTCGTAAACCACTTCGTCCGATTCTAATGGGCACAACTGCTCTCCACTAGGACCTAAACGCAGACTCCATCATTCACATATGGAATTGAACAAGCTTGGAAGAGAAATTGAAATACTTTTTGAGACATCTCCCTACAGAAGTTACTACATTTCAGTTGTGTACTAATTTGGTTTCTCGTTTTCAGTACAATTCTGCATTTCCTTTAATGAAAAAAGTCATCAACAACCAAACCAGTGTAGTCTTCGACAAACAAAAAATATTTCATCTGTTAACCTCCCACTTTTACACCTGCAACGATTTCAAAAGAAATTTTCGGAGATATAAAAGGTTCGGTCCTCATCAGCCTGGTGGCAAGCAAGATAATTTCAAGCAGCAATTTGAACTGTGCCCACCTCCGGGTCTGCACACGCCGTTTCCGTCATCGAAGGTGTTCGGCGGGCAGCTGCAAACGTCGAACTCACAGCTCGAGCCTCCTACGCATTGCTGGTTGAACGAGCAACGCTCGCCGATCTGAAACCGTTCTCAAATAAAAACCATATTATGATTATAACACCTTCCAGGAAGATTAAGCCATAAGTGTTATATGACCTGACAATAATGCATCATAATTTAAGAGAACCTTATGGATAATTTATGAATTCGTATCGTGATTTAAGCAGACTCCAACTGTTGCTCATTTAGTAATAGACTTTTTGCATCTAATGCTCCTATCAGTTTCTGAATTGACTGCCTTTAACAAGTCATCGAATGAATAGAAACTCCAACAATCATTCAATGAATGGAAACCCCAACAGTCGTTGAATGAATGGGAACCCCATCTGCTTGACATTGAGGCGCACCATAGCAGACTGGTTTATACGATTTTTTATCTATTTCTCACCAACCGACATAAAATCTTGCTTGGAATCTAACACTTGCTGCCGTTGATTCGTTTCCTCACGTATATATATTCCTTGGAAGACTTCGGATTTTAAGCCTGTTTTCACCAGCTGCGTGAGAATTCGGTGTCTTTTACGAATCTTGTTGAATTCTGATCCAGTCGATTCTTTCTAGAGTCTTAGCTTAGCCATATTGTGTGCTCGTAAATTTTCACCGCATGCAGTAGGGAGTTTTTGTTGTTTAGAAAGATCGAGCTGATCCTTGACAGGCCGGTTATCTATTTCTTTACCATGAGAGGCTGAAGGCTTGGTTTGCTCCAAAATGGTTTGAAACAAGGCTTCGCGTTTATGAAACAGCCGCTTTATCCTCACCGCCTTTAGTATCATAGTTCACTTTGTCTTCATTACAAATGAGTAGAGCTATCGTTGCTCCTTTTCACATTGCATTTATCACACTATAACAATGCAGCGTTTCTCTGCAACGCCACATTGTGAAAGGTCTTAACATCACATCCAATAAGATGCTCTAATAGTTATCGCGATAATCCTTCTATTGAGTTACTTTTGGCGAAATCTAAATTCTTTAATCTCAGCGGTACTTGCATGGTCTTTTGGATACTCGGTACCTAAACGTGTCTTCTTCGATTTATCGGTTTATCGCGTGGTTTTAACACTATTTACATGTGACCGTTGCTCTGGTGGTCCTCCATGGATTTTCATTCTTGAAATAGAAATCAGGAAATTATAGTCGGTTAGCCTGGAAGCCCCTACGTATTTGACGAAAATTTACCACGGCGATGCCAGACATCGATTTATAGCCAATCTCTGCCACCACGAATGTGGACCATCAAAAGTTCAAAAAGATACGGTGGAAAATCTTATCATAATCGCATACATCAATGATGAAGTCGTAGACATTTCATCATTATAGAGTAAGAAAACTTGTATCCTTTTGAAGAAGCTGGCAGCTTCTAAGGAATTTTACTCCAACTGACAGCTTCGCTATCTGGAAACAAGCATCGAAATCAGCGCACACGGTCATTAATATATAAGTTCAGGATGCTACAAGTTTCCATCACTAATTTGGATCTCTTTAGAAATGTATTTCCACATTTAGATCAAAGAATCGAGCCATCCCAGTGCTTTTCGTCTTAGTCACCACTTCAACTGCTTTCTCCCCAATAAGCAAAGGCACCTCCAAATCGGGCTTCTTGTTCATCTCACTGAACAATGCGTAAAATCTCCTTCAGAGTAACGACCTTCGGCAGATTTCTTTTCCAGAGCCACCAGAAGAAAAAAATAAAAGAAGGTTAGTTGCAAACGTTTTAGATTTCCTATAATATCGTGACTTTTAAAAGCATTTTCAGAGCTTCTCTCAGTTAATGGGGTGCAACTAAATCAAATTCCTTCTGAACAAGGGGAGTAAATCGAATAAATAAATGTAGACAATCCTCAAGAAGTAATGCAATGGAGAGTATTATACCTGTACTAACGGATAACACTGATTGTTGATTAGAACTTCGTACGAATTGCAGCGAGAAGACTGAAACACTAAAGTGACGAAATACATAAAAAAGGGCAAAAACTAGCATTTGGTTCAAAATAGAGTGGATATTTGTGATTTTACCATTCTCTGAGTTCTTCTTTAAGGAAATCTTTCACCATGTCCATCTACTTGTAATGACAGGGAAATAAGATGTTAATAGCACTAAATAGTTCTTTCTTTTTTTGTTCCTTGTGATTAATTGCTTTAATCAATAGCCTCCATATTTACTCGCAATGCTCCGAAAGTTGCACCTCGTTGGACGGCTGGCAAACACCGTAAACCGAAGTCCATCCGCTTCGGCACCTGCATCTCGAAGACGAGCAGGTGCCGAAACCCATGCACTCTAGGGTAGTTCGGCAAGGATCTCCAATCGGCACGAGTGGAAGACATCGAGAGGCAACTGAGCTGAAAATCTTGTCATTTCGATCATGAATTCCATTACTTTGTTCATATACTTATTAAAGTGGTCATTTTATTCACAAATTCTCAGCTACTTTTAGTTTTCGTTTATTGATCGATTTCTGGCGCATATTTGTAAAGTTTTCTCTCGAAGAAATTAAACATGTTCATTTCCTCTTCGTTGACTTTGATATTGGAATCCATTTGACACTATAAACATGGTAGCCGGAAGATTCTTTGACGAGCACATTATTGACCAGCTACTCTGGTCGTACAAACCTTGTTAGATGGAGTAAGTATCCAATAATAACTTAAGAGCATGAACTGCACGAAAAAGCCTTACACTGTTCCGGCAGGACAATGCTTGATTCCTCTAACACAGGCCGTACCGTTGTACGTGGTCGAATAGGTGCACTGACAGGTGCCAGAGCAAATTGCATTCTCTGAAATTTTACTAGTTCCACTTAAAAACGAGCAAATAGCCCTAACACACAAATTATTTGCTATCCTGTAGATTTCTATCACTTCATGTACTTATGCTTGTAGTCACCACTTATTAGTTCGTTCAAACTGTCTTTGTCTTCGTGTAGAGATTATAACAAAAGGCACGCGTGTACGCGTGTGGAGCAGTGGCCGGAAGGGCCCTGCAACACACACGGGAAATCGGTCCCCGCACCCTTGGCCAACCAAGCCTTCCATCCCTCCGGGGTGGGCAAATTGGTACCAGACTTGTCTGAGAGGATAGCAGCACTGGCTCGATACATCGGTAGGCCCAGGGGTTTACTGTAAAGGCCACATATGAATTCAATCACCTCCATCCAAACGATGCTTAACGAAGTCGAATGCATGGCGCATCCCTCAGGAATTGAACAAGGCCAAGAGCTTTATCCTTTTGATCCTGTTATAGATTATAACTATCTTGTTGATGCACCGTCATTTGTGATCAGTGCGAAAGAACTAAAATTGTATAAAGAGCGACTTTCTGGAAGACATACAGTAGTCTCTTTTTTCTTGACAGCTTTAGTATCGCACGATAACGATGGGTTACTCTAAATGGCATGAAAATCTTACCGCGAAGCCTGCAAAATATTCTCTTCGATGAGGCCACAACTCTTACAGTAGCCTATGCCAAATCACACATGTATACAAAGCACGTGTTTATGTATATATATATATATATATATATATATATATCCATATTTACGTGCTTTGACCTATTCATGTTTTTAACCATTAACGCCCGAATATACCTCATTGTAATTATATTGAAGTTTTTCCCTTCAGATACAGGTGCTACTCATAGACATCACATCTCCATTTATTGACTGCTTTTTATTGACCTAATACTATATATTAACCTACCGCTTCATTACCCAACCTTGAGGTTCCCGAAAAGAAACATTCAAATAGAATAGAAACACCCGGCTTTCCAGCGTATTAAACTTGCGTATTGCTCACTGATTGGTCGATGTATGCCTCTTTAAAAATTTCTGCGAAGAACGCTAATAAGGCATTTCATAATTAGAAGCCACTTTCTCCTATTAGTTTATAAACGATTATATATTTGCTGTAAAAGTAACGTGGATCTTGCCCTCACTGTATAAGTGATAAGACGCAGATACAGTAAGCACATTAGGTAGAGTAGATCTAACTACACCTCACTGTTCCGATTTTCCTTACTAGAAATCAACTTCTAATAAGAAGACTCAGACGTCGTCTTCGTTTCTGAGACAGCTGGATGACCTATTTAATGATCTCTCTGAGTTACATGATTGCGTAAAAGACCCACCTCCACACTGTGCTACGTTCAAACAATGCTGCCCTATGGAGACCTTGTTGAGGCACTCATTATTGACCTCTACCTAAAAAAGCTTTCTTACAGCTTTTGGCTTCTGCCAATGCGTTTCGTAATGAAATCCAAGTAAAATACATATGCAAATAGTTATGAGTATTCCTGATTGGATGATCTCTATGTTTCTACCTCTTAAGTTATGAAGAAACGGCGAAAAGTTTTCTTGCCTGGTAAGATTTGCAAAAGCTGCTCCCAGTGTCACATATTCCATCAATGGAAGCGACTCCATTGGCGCATTCACAAAATCCTTTAAGACATTGCGAATTACCAGTGCACTGTTCAGTGAAAAGACACCGACGGCCCACAGAAACCATTGGAACGCACTTGCGGTTCACGAAAACCTGGAGCGCATGATACAACAACACTAGCACTCATCAGCTGCTCTTCGCTCTATATGTTAAGCCTCCATCTATTTCGTTCGTTAACTAATAAATCGAATGGGAACGTTAGAGAGCTATTTTTCTTCAATGTGAATACTTAAAGATCAAAGCGAGTCGATTTTTAGAGGAATTCGGCTCGTATGAATTGATTTCAATCCACAACGGGTGCATTGAACAGTTTGAGGCAACGATTAGATGAGACAGTTATACGGAACTGAACTATTTTCACGTCGTAGCCTAAATATTAATAAACGCCACCGATCTCCTTTAACAGCCTTCTCCACCAGAGGTGAAATACTGATGTACAAGAAAATCAATTGTCCAATGCTTAAAACATAGCTATAAAAGACTTGAAGCGACTGTTTAAACTGAAAATATGTCCCTATTCTGAAATGTAGGGCAGAAGTCACGAAGTTTCGGCTTTTATTAGCTCCCTATTCTTGTTTCATGGCAAAGCACGCTGTGAAATACAACTTTGGGGAAGCAGAGATAAATATAAGCTCGATATCTAAAGGCAGCTTCGAACCCGCAATTGCCTTTTTGAGAGCTCACCTATCCAGGACACCAACCCATGCCTTCCGTTTGGATTTCTCTCGGCCATATTTTCACTCTATCGGTGCTATCAACAATGATCACTCGTCAACGCGGATGGTCTGGTTTGCACAAATTGGTATTGAGTCCAATTTGGCTGAAGCTCCAGTCGAGATTACAATGTTTAACTTTTATTTGTCGCCTATTCTTTTTCCATAGCAAGGTGCGGCTGACGGGTATTGCTCATAAGGATAAAATGATAAAGTTCTCGGTATTCGCCATGGCGCACACTAACTCGTCCTCTAACTGCTGATTGATAGCACCAATAAAGTAAAAATATGGGTGAGAGAAAGGCAAAACATGGGCATTGGTTAGGGTGGCGGGTAGCACATGAGCACCCTCTAAGAGTGATCACGGGTTCGAAGCCCAGCTGAGGTTCCAAGTTTTGCACATATCTCAGCATCCGTATAAAGCGGAAAATTGAGTTCGTATAACAATCAAGTTGATAGAGGATGTGACTGCGCTTTGATTTTAAACAGAGAACGAAATAGCCTTCTCACGGTTCACGAATCCATAGACATATAACATGAATATGCGCTCTTTTCGAAGCCCATCATCAGTCATTGCTCACCATGATGCACACTGATGGAAGGAATGACCCCTTGTGCAGCCCGCATAGCCTGGTGTAATTGTTTTGTAAATATCACAAACCTGATTCCGTCCACACTCCGGACTACTGCACGTTGCTTCAGTTTCTGAACTACCTCTGGGACATTGACAAAAGCCGTTCGTGCAACGGGAATTACCCAGGCATTGTCGAGTGTGTGAGCACCGACTGCCCAAAGGAACTTTCTCCAGGCATTGTCCATTCACCAGCACCTGTAGTGTTGTCATCCATACAGTTCAGTTATGTAAATCTGACATTTCACCTTGGAATACTCTCATCCATTTATCGCTTTCTTTTATACAAGTGAATGCGCACCGATGTTTTGATAGCACTCTGCCGTTCACTGTTACGAAGACTTTTCAAGTATGATTTTGAGTCAAAAAAAAGTTAAAATTTCACCTTTCTTACTTATTGATCAGTTTAGTTTAGAACAATCCCAGTCGGAAAATAAGTAAAAAGGCACAAAAAGGAAACTTTTCGAAATTAATGATCACTGCAACGAAACCGCTTTAATGAGATGAAGACGACGATGATGACAGGAAACTCTTTAAAAAAAAACTACAATCGTTTTCAGAAGTATCAGTGGAGCAGAGACTCAAAAAGTTCAAGAATGCAGAGCAATCGATGGAACTGTAAGTGACATATATGGATAGCTTCATGATTATTGAGATCAGATCCTGTTTATAAGTGAGAATTTGATGACCATGGTGGAACAGCTTAACAGGTAAGGGCACCACCAACCGCCTTCGGGTGTCTTGAAGAAACTATCGACTAACTGACGGAATTAGATCCCTACGACTTCTAGTTCCATCCTACAGTTACCAGCACTGAAAAAACCCGAACTACTGTTATCAATTTCAGAACCACCCGTAATGCCATGTTCGAGGGATGAGAACTCACTGCTGACGCATATGTACGAGCCCAAAACACTCACATTCTGGTAAAGAACGCTATGGGAAAAAGTGAATAATATGGTAATGTTAAAAAAAGATATGGGAAAAAGTGAATATTTCAAGAAGTTGGCAAAACACCCTTACAGCTTCCCCTGTGTTGTGAACAACTTCACAATGTATCCATATGTGGACACTTCCAGAGAATTTGAGAGAATTCGTGGCTGATATGGTTGGAAATACCTAAATTCTATTATCGACCGTCAACTACTTGGAAACAATGATGCGTGCAGTGACGGCTGCCATGACAGTAGCTCAAGAATTACAAATACGCTTAATGGACAACTTTCGCTGGAGCCTGTCACACCTCTTCCATATGACGCCTAGACCAAGAAAGTAGAGCACTGTTAAAAAACTGATGGCACGAGCTCGAGAATGCAGTTCAGGACTGGTCCCACTTCTGTTTTCTTTTCGTCACTCTGCGTCTTCTAATCCTCCATTCTTTTCTTTTCTCTTTCTGGAATCTCTTCTACAACAAGTAGGTATTTCGATATAAAATGGAGTACACAAATTCGCCACACATAAATTCACTACCATAGTTTAGTTGTTTAAATATTTTTAGCTCTTGTCAACCAACCTATCTTGGAGGAGTTCTAGAAGAAAGCGAATGCCAGAAACCAGTTACTATACGAATTCAATATGGATGGGTCTGTCATATAGTGAGATAAGAAAATGACAGATGGAAGAAAATAACAGTGGTTTGGATTCCGAGAGGATGCAAGCGTCCTCTACGGCGACCTCCTATGAGAAAGGTGGACGTGTTTGTGGTTCCCGTCAACCAAACGATGCATTCGCAGCTGGAAAATATTAATGGATCATAGAATGACTGTTTCCCAAAAGTCTCCATGCCCGAAACACACCACCAAGGACGACAATTGCACGAGTAAGAAACGAATGGAAATTGTGCTGGTGCCCGCACTACTCTTGAAGACGGACCATCCAAGTATTGAAGCAAGTATGTCAATACAACAGTAATCCGTACCAAACATTAACTGTTTTTGAAACCGTCGGTACAGCACAACCTGTCATTTAAACACAATGAATTGAAATTATGAAAGTTGGGAAATATTTTCAACGTGTTCTCTTCGAATCGTCTTCGAATCCTCCTCGAATAATATCATTATTGCCCTTATACAGCTTAGACGAGCAGCATTCTATGGACCTTGGTTTTTATTTTCTGAGCCCTTTGACTCCACGATTTCTAGCTGCTTTTCTTTAAAGAAAACTTTTTTGTATCCATTTATAATTGTTGGTAACTGTTCAAGTCCACCTGAGTACTGGAGCATGGCGAAGAGGTGTTATCTGCGACGCAGTACAAGTCCATCTCGAAGAACCTATAGCGAATCGTCATTTACAACAAAACAAAGTTCTAAGAATTCCATACTCACCCGTCGTCACAAGAACAGGTCCCTCTGACATTACATATAGATCCACCTACGCATTGCTCATTTGCAATACATTTACCACCAACAGTTGAATAACTAACACATTCATTATTTATCCACGTCTAGAACATTGAAAGAATCTACCATTCCACACGGTTTAAGAAATTGATAGACCGCAAACCTGGGTGCGAGGACATCGTTCACCTATGCGTCGGATACAATAACCGTTGATCAGTTTCCTACGATTATTTTCAGTGTTAATTATCATGCCATTCTTAAGCAGTACTATTGATAGATACTCACAATCCACTCATACATTGGCAAGTATTGCTTAAACACCGTGAGTTGTCTATGCATTGTTCCTCGGCAACACATCTCATTCCAGGAGGCGCTAGTTGCTCGCACTGACCATTCACTAGCACCTGAACATTTCCTTGTTCGATGGAAATTCACTAGGAATAGAAAAAGTTCTTTAGATAATTAAATCAAGAAAGAGATCCCTGCCTAAGGTTCTTCCACATTATGAGATATTACTGCTACGGAGTGCGTGTTACTATGGCTACGGAAATGCGAAAGACAATGGGCAATGGGTTGTCAATCTCAGAACTGAGTTGTTTCTTTTTGTCGAAAAGTTCAATTAAAAGTAAATAAATGATTGGACGGCGCGTGTAGCGCAGTAGTCGGAGGAGCTCTGCAATACAAATGAGATCGATCGCCTAGCGCTAGGCCCACCAAGTCCTCCATCTCTCTGGGATTGGCAAATTGATACCAGACTTGTCTGGGAGGATAGCAGCATTGGTCCTATACAACTGTAGGCCACCGCAAGTCACTATAAAGATTAGATATGCACTCAGTGATCTCCAACGATGCTTTATGAAGTCGAATATATGAGCTATCCCTCAGGGATTGATCAACGTCGAGAGCTTTAGCTTTTAAACGATTGGAATTTCAACGTTCCTCATGTGAACTTTGTCAGATATAAACGCAAGGTGGAAAACCTCACGGCAATTCGAGCACGACAGTAATTCCCGTGCTAACGATCTTGGAAACCTGCGGCATGGTTACATGGAAATTGAAAGAGAAAACAAGAAGAGAGCCTTATTTTGCGAATCGAACACCGTCATTTGCTACACATACGGTAAGCCAACTGATACGATTCGATTAAATCGCGAAATGCACTGAATATTACTGCTATTGATTCAAAACGACATGCTCATAGTACACCTTGGAGCAATCCATGCTTAATACCCACCATACTTCATTTCCTAACTATTCATACCATCGGTAAAGACCATGAATGGTAAAACTATGGATCAATCAGAGATCGTTCTCAACCCCAGGCCACCGCCAAATGTGCATGAATGAAAAAATGTAGTCCAAAAGAGAGCATTGAGGCCAATTTCTTCTTTTTTTACGCCAAAGGAGACACGTTGGAGAAAGAAATGAGAGAGCTACATTCTTGGGATCTTCACAAAGTTTAGAAAAATTCTTGTAATTCATTAGTGTTATCAACACAAAAGTTGATCGTCGTTGCTCACAGAACGGAACTAATTCGAAAAACTGAGTTCGGATGTGATAAGAGCTACGTTTGAAGCCTGACTATATCTTGGATAACCCCGTGACCCGCATGATACTACACGTATACATATCGTCTCCTATACTCGATAGAAGAGAGGATGGTAAAGACTTGAACTCGCCTTGAAATTTTTGTAAGTATGGTCATCATTCGAACCATGTTGGAAAATACGTCAGTTAATGTGGGAGCAATTTTATTGTTCTATTCAATTATTGATGATAAGAGAATCCCGTGTCACGCAAGTGACGGGAAGGATCCGAAGCTCCGACCACCGTCAACGATCAAGAATCAAAGATACTGCTCTGTACGCCAAACAGTCGAAGATACGGTGGGCCGGACACGTAATGCGTATGAATGACAACCGATGGACAAGAGCCGTTAGTGACTAGATTCCTCGGGATGTCAAACGCACTGCTGGAAGACCACCGACCCGATGGTCAGAGTTCTTCAGAAAGAACCTTGAAGAAGATATGATGCTCAACGAGTCCCTAGAGTGAGCAGAACCCATAGGACTACTCTTGCACGCGACAGGGAAAATTGGAAGGTTTACTGGCATTCGCTCGAGTCACTCAGCGATAAACGGAACTACAGGTGATACAGGTGATTCAACTATTGAATTCCGTAAGAAGTCTTAGAGAATTCAACTCTATATGATGTACATGGAAATTTCACAAGAACAGAAAACATGAGAGCTGCAGTCAACTAACCGTTCCTCTTTCACATTTCCTTCCGAATGGGGTGCATTGTCCACTGACATCGCTGGTCCCAGGAGGACATTGACAGCGAGAGCGCTAAGGAAATAATTTAGTGCACACATTAACAACATATAACTCATCAGAGCAACAGCATCTCTACAAAACGTATTATTTACCATGTATCTTTTGCATTTGTCAACCTAAAGACTGATTTTTGCAAATTCATCTATTACTTGGATGGCCCGCCCTCGTTGGTTGTGCGGGTCCCAGCATAATCTCCAGTTTTCCGGAGCTTTACTGATTTAGCTACTGTGGTTCCCTGGAGTCTCGAGGTCCACGCCAAACTCTGTCCCAGCTCGTCACCACCACAGGCAGTCGCCGCCCTTGTAGATCAGAGGGAGATTTCCCACCATGCGACTATTTTGGTATCAGAACGGTGACGGATCCTGGTATTGTTTACTCTTAGCTGGGCTTTCTAATGGAAACGCCGGACTCCATCTCAACTTGGGAGAGCTTACCAGGGCTATGGGTCCCCCGCTGCAAATCGCAGCCCCACACCCAGGAAAATTCCCACGATGAGGCCGGTGAACGGTTGGGAGGACTTCATCTACTATAAAATCAAACTACTTATAAGTGCAGATGTCTCATATCAAGATGAGAAGAAAAATATCAGTATAATACTGCTTTGAAAACGATCCGAGGATAATCTCTCACCACGCATTCAGAGCCACCCTGACACATTTCCGTCTGTCGACAATAGGATCCAATAGGTACGGTATCTATGCACTGCCCATCGATCAGCACCTGGCCGTCCAAGCACTGTCCGTATGAACAAACAGCTGAAGCGAATTTCATAGAGCTATTCCAACAAACAACACTTTTGTATGATCATATTGTGAATTGAAACAAAAACATGAGTAATAATATGAAAAATATGAAATATACGATTTTCTCATTCCACCAACATCAAGATTACTCTAACTTTACTACCCTTTTCTTTTGTTCGCCTCAGGAATGACGACGAAGAAAACACCACACTCGTTCAGATAGAACACTTAAATGTCGTGGTTCTTCAGTTATTTCTCAAAGCCAAACAGTATTTGGATAACTGAGTGTGAAAGTTCTTGGGAAGAGAGCTGACTAGCTTTTAGTTATCCGATAAAGCCGAGAGTTTTTACATCTTGAATAATTGTGAGCAATAAATCGAAAACAAGCAAACGAACGATTAGGTCCACTTGCGCAGCAAATTCCTTTCACACAACTGTATCCGTCAACGCAGTCATTTGACGACCGACACCGCACAGTCTGACCAGTAGACGAAATCAATGACGATGTTGCGCCGCATTCTGGAAATAATCAAAAATTCAGGAGAAATATTTTCTATATGCTTTCAGTATCAACTATGACCAATTGCTTCTCAGGTTCGAATTTTTGATCAGCTACCAACCAATCCACGGTTCTGTCTCATGCTGCGATCTCTTGCCCGTCAGCGGCGAGGTTACGTGGCACATCCTTAGGTGGCGGATAAGGGGTTGGTGGACGAAAATCACCTTACGCTTCCCTCAGACGCAGATGGATTCAGGGGATGGACTCCCTGTTTCTGCTGCGCTGATTGGGCAGATACCTTCTGTATTAACGACGACTATTCATGCATGAGTTCAGGGGTGGAGTGCGTTCCATTTATTCGGATTGATCTCTACGGATCAATTAAAAAAGCCTATAATGGAATGATTCGGGTTTATATGGAAGGCAGTTGGAAGTCGCCCTCAGCAAACGAGGTTATCGTTAAGTCTAGGGTAGATCAGCAAGCTACTCATGAGTATACCCAATCCCAACATTCCGAGCTCAGCAAGCTATACGGGGATATCAAACTAAATGCACTAAAATAAATAGACCTCATTTCCCTGATCCCGAAAGACCCACCGATACGGCAGGTAGGACTAGTACGGAGAGGCTGCTAAAATCTGACGGCCATTCTAGACTGCCTAAATCTCTTCGTTGCCTGCGATCCAACGTCAAGCCATGGCGAAGGCGAAGTTCTACACAGACTTAAATTGGAGAACCTCTGCAGAAAACACCATATATTTTAGGATTATCATTGAAGATTTCAAAACCAAGATTGGACCCAGAACAACCTTTGAACAGTGTCACAATGAGATACCGTATTAGAATGGAACGAAGACAGTGAACGGCTGTCTGAGTTTGTCGACGACCAAGAAATTCAATGGTAACTCTCAATTCCAGAAGCCCCACTCTTAAAGGCGGATGTGGGAGCCTTGCAGTGGAGAGCACCATAACGAAATAGACCAAATAATAGTAAATCGAAGCTTTTACCTAACAGATGTGGTTGTGGTCTCAAAATTCCACATGAAATTAGGCAATCGCCTCTTTTGTGCAGGATTCTATTTCTCGCGAAAAAAAAAAACAGAAAAAACCCTAAATTCAAAAGACAAAGTCCCAAAATCATCATGAACTTATCTGTATTCAGTTCATTACTAAGCTGTTGGAGAAAATACTGTTTTTCATAACATTATCGAGGACTCTCATTCAACATTTTCACGTCGGCGCTGTTAAAGCTCTCAGTTTGAAAGTCACCGAGAGACGTCTTTCTCCATAAACACTCCGGCTGACAAGCCAACACACAACTGCCCAAGCTCTAGCCAACAGCTAATTCACGTTTGAACTTGGAAAACAGGGCAGACAGACGACAGAAGAAGATCTAAAAGAGAGAGAAGAGCAGCAGTAATGCTCGTAGCTAAAAACGCTGGGAGCATCAACCGCAAATCAAGATGGTTACAGTCCGATGCACTGACAGAACAGTTACAGTTTCCAGAAATTTAAAGGAGAGTATCATTCACGATTACTACTCGGATTTCTTCAACAGCCACGTCCTCTTCCTTTCATGTGAAATAAAGCAGAGTGGACATGTTTTTCCACTGGTTCTCTCTTCCGAAATCCGACATATTATTTCGTCGATAAAGAATCGAACAACGCCAGATCTGGACAGGGTAAGATCTGATCATCTGAACAACCTTCTACTAGTCCTCATAAACACACTGGTTTGGCTGTTTACAGGACACATTTCAGAATGCGAAATTCTCACTGAGTGGAAGACCAGCGAGACTGCACTGTTGAGAAGCATAACCTCCACGATATTGGCAACTAACACCCAATTTGCTTACCAATTTTTAGTCTACAAAGTTTTCACTCTAGTCTTCCTAAACAGGATTGAGAGTATTGAGAGTATTGAGAGAGCACTAGACGAAAGACGCACATGTGAGCAGGAACGGTTTCCAAAAGCCGAAAAGCATTCAGCACGATGGACCACATCCACACGATAACAAGGCTCAATTAAGTACCGCGAGAGTCCACGAGGCGGTTCTGCCACACTTTCATCGACTTGAGGAAATCTTTTGACTTAGTTGAGGTAGAAGCAGCAATGGTAAACCTGTACATCCAGAACGTCACTATGTGTATGTAAGGAAACTATTTTAACACTAACTTAAAGACAGGATCCCGGGAAAGCGATACCATCTCACCAAAATCATTTGCCGCCATTCTCGAGAACATCAAGCGAACATTGGAAAGTGACAACATAGGGTGAAAATCGTTGGTCAGCAGTTACACCATATCATCGTTTTGCTGATGACATCATTCATATAACAGCAAGCCTTAACCAGGCGCAACGGATGCTTGCCGAGTTTGATAACGCTAGTGGAAAGATTTACCTTAGATCTCACAAAAACGATATTCGTGAAAAACGATTGGTGTCGTATGGCGTTTTCACAGTCATCGGATTCACTATCCCTGAATGCTCTAGCTACCTCTATCTTGGTAAGGAAACTATCATCATGAACGCCTTAGCTGAAGAGTATAGCAGGAAAAGTGAGCAGCTCGGGGACCTTTCAACAGCATCTACGATGTAGTGAGAAGAACAAAGAATTCCCTACTCCGCGCTCACCTTTTCGATTCCACTACCATTCCTCCATTGACGTAAGCGTTAGAAACCTGATCGCTGCAGAGGTAGGATGACAGTTCACTCAGTGCTATAGAACGCCCTGTTGAAAAGACGATGCTAGGAATATTCCGTATCACAGAAATGAGAAAAGGGATCCGAAGCTCAAACCTGCGTCAATGATCAGAAACCAAAGGCGCCCTTTTACATGTGAACTTGTCTAAAATAAGGGTGTTAACGACTGGATTCTTCGGGACGTCAAACGTATTGCAGAAAGACCACTGACCCAATGGTCAAAGCTTTTCACGGAAACTCTAAGAAAAAGATACGATGCTTAACGAGTCCCTTAGATGGAATAGAACTGTGCTACTCTTGCACGTGACAGGAAAAAATGAAAGGTTCACTAGCGCCTACTCGATCCACTAAGACGATCAACAGGAGAGAGGTGACAGCTGATGCCAACCAACTTTCAGATATACTGAATCAGTGGCCTAATCCTCCTCACAAAACATCGCTTTCTCCACCAAGGGATCATTTGATAGATTAGGTGAAAAAAAAACAATACTACTAGAAACCAATTGCAATGATATGTACGATGTTAAAGGATAAAAAAGGATAAAACTCTCGGCATTGATCAATCCCTTGGAGATGCGCCATGGATTCGACTTCACTAAGCATCGTTTGGAGGTGATTGAATGCATATCTGGTATTTACAATAACTTGCGATGGCCTACCAATGCACCTAGCCAGCGCTGCTAACCTCCCAGACAAGTCTGGTACCAATTTGCCAGCCCCGGAGGGATGGAAGGCTTGGTGGGCCATGGGCGCGGGGATTAATTCCTCGGGTGTGCTGCAGGGCGCCTCCAACCACTGGGCCACATGCGCCCTTATGTCCTTACGCCCCAGAATGTGCGATGTTACAGCACTTAAACTTGCCATAGTAATTAGCAAGTGCTGTGTAGTGCTGAAAAAAGCTATGTTTTAATCTTATCTGGTGCTGAAAGATAAGGAGAGACTTACAAGAGACGGCTCAGCTGAGCAGTGAAGCAGCTGTCATTTTCAGAGAAATTCCATTATCACCAGTACCAGGATCCACCACCGTTCTGATATTAAAATAGTCGCATGGTGGCAAATCTTCCTCTGATCCATAAAGTCTGCGACTGCCCGTGGTGGTGAAGACTTGGGTAGACTTTGGCCATTCGGGAATCCAGGGATCCGCAATGGCTTAATCAGCAAATCTTCGAAAAATGGACATTATGATGGGGCGGGCACAACAAGTGAGGTCGGGCCATTCAAGTATCGAGAAAGTAAGTAAGTAAGATTCCATTATAAAGCTCCGTCGGTGCTGGTTTTGTCGTGCAATCTCCGCTGTTCGTTTCGTTGAATTTCATGAGATTACGCTTTCCCATTAATCGTCCGGTATTCAGTAATTCTTAGAATGTTGTGATTAAGTTACTTCCTTGACCAATGCTTTGACATCTGTTCAAATCGAGGTACAGAACTGTTATAGATGTAATCAATAAGGCAATGTAGCTTTTTGCTGGTGAGTTAGATCCAAAATCAGGAACTATCTTTCAGTGACTTGGACGTGGAAATTCAAAACTTAAAATGATGAAATAAAGGCAACGTGGAGCGCGTAGCTCTGTGGTTAAAGGTGCCGTGCGGTAGACACATGATAGCCAACTGGATCCCACACCCGGAGCAAATCAAGGCTTTAATCGCTCCGCGATCAGTATTTTGCTACCAAACTAGTCTTGCAGATAGCATGACTGACTTGATACATTGACAGGTAACCGTAAATCATTGTATGGGCCAGGCATGCGTTTAATCACTTTTAATGATACTTGAAGAAGTCGGATACATGGCGTATCTCTCTGAATAGATCGACACCGAACGCTATTACTTATTACGGGCGCAGCGACCACTAATAGATCTGCAACAGCTTTTAGAATGCCAAGAAAGCCTACGTGGTGCTTCTCCTGTACAGCAGACGTATCGATTTCGCCCTCCCGAGTACTGACAAATGGAGCCCGGCTTTTCGTTGTCACAACTGCACAGATCCTGTGGGGAGCACGAGAGTGGTCGCTGATTTGTGGATAGAAGTAGTGTGAGTCCTGGAGGACACTCACCAGCAACAACTGCAAGTACATGAACGACATGCTACCAATTTTTCTTACTATTCATCTGCGCTCTCAGAATTGCCTCTTTTTTTGTTTAGCTGTTCTTTACTTATTCATGATAAAATGCATTGCAGAACTGGATAGGACGTTACAAAGAACATGCCCACGAAATATAAGCTTAGTTGGTCTTGTACACGACGAAAAACGAAAAGTGTAGGTTGAACAGGTTGAGCTTAAGAGGGTTGGGTTACTCGGCCCTGTAGAGCTAAGATCCAAGGTTTTCTTTTTTCTTCATTTTTCAAAAGCTTCCTATTTGATAAAACACCCTCAAACTTTACTTTGGACAAATATTTTTGCAGAATTCGCGAACGAATATGGTAGGAGTGTGCTTTTTTAGCAGAATAAAACTAGAAAAAAAACTTCGGAAAGCACATATTTGTAATTTACAACGCACCCCCCTCCCCCCCCCCAAAAAAAAAATTTGGGTAGAGTCCTATGATTCATAACATTGAAAAAGTGGGCGTGGTGCTACGGCTAAAAAAATGAAAAACATCGACTCATTACTGCTTTATTAGAACGTTCGAGAAATTCACAAGTCGAGTTCGAGTTGTCGCGTGAGACTCTGCAGCACATCTTATCAAGGGGAATCGGATGAATCTTAATAGGAAACTATACCGTGACACTCGCGTTCTTACCTGCTAGAAGGCCAAAAAATAGTGGGAAATACATGACAACGGTGGGAAGACTGTTGGAAAATTGCGTAATATTGGTGAAGACGATGTTGATTCAGCTGCTGTTAGAGATCGACGTCAGGTGAACTTGGCATAACCGATACGAACAAAGAGATATGTCACTGACAAATTTGCACAGTGTCTCCCTGATTCATATCCTTGCACTATCACATACCGTTTCCGGAAATGACGGCGAAACATCATTCAGCTATTTACGGTTTATAAATGAAGTCACATAACAGCTGAAAAAATGTTCACTTCTCGTTCATTTCCATCTCTTTAGTGGAATTTTATCGGAACAGATGTTGCACATCAAATACGAATAGTGGGAAATGTTTGGAAACCACTAGGAATTGCTTTGGAAAGTATAGGTAGGAACTGTTCCTTCAACGATAGCGAATGTTTTTGTGATGGAGAACGAAAATTGCCTATCAAACGAAGATACTCACCAGCAGTTATATTCACTTACTGTCATATCAGGAAAAGGGCACAGGTGGCGCTGTGGTTGGAGGCGCCACTGCGGCACACATGTTGAATCGATCCCCGCGCCTATGGCTCACCAAGCCCTCCATCCCTCCGGGGTCCACAAATTGGTACCAGACTTGTCTGGGAGGATAGCATCACTGGCTCTATACATCGGTAGGCCACCGCGAGTCATTGTAAAGGCCAGATATGCATCCAGTTACCTCCAATGATACTTAATGAAGTCGAATGCATGGCGCATCATTCAGAGGTTGATCAACTCCGAGAGCTTTATCCTTTTTTATCGGTGTCTCCGTAAATGACGGACATTTCTTCTTAAGTTTCATTCAATTATGGAGATTTTTAAGCAACACAAAGTAAAAAAGACCTTATAGATTTCCTCGATTTATCACATTATTTTCCAAATTCATCCAGAGAGCTAATAGCATTCGCTTGTTGACTCATCAGACTTACGAGCCTTGATGTTGATTCTAGATGTCTTGAATACCCACGTCACCTGATATTCTTAGAGGTAATTTCGATCCTCTTGAGATCCGTCGAGTCCATTCTCCGCTTCTCAAATAATCGGGATGGAGCGTTCCCAGATGGATTGCACAAAATGAACTATTCTCAGATAAGTCTGCCACCAATTTCTCAAACACGGAGTGATGAGAGGCTTAGTGAGCCCTGTGCGCGTCGAACCAACACTGCGCTTGTGATGAAAGGCTCAGCATCGATACGCCAGCGATCCTTGTAAGTGTTAATATTAGGACGAAATCTATGCTTCCAAAGAGAGGCGCATGGCGTGAACTGAATTGAAATAAAAATCATAGATAGATAGCGTGAATATAAAGTCAAATTGTGTATCTAGAATGTATCCTTGTACAAAGAGACTGTCAGTGTTTTCCTATAAAATCGATTGCAATTCTTCCAATAATTCCTTTTTAGCATTCCTTCCATGGTTTAACGCCTATCCTAGCTACTATAGGGGATTTTTCTACCAAATAGAGAATTCTCTATCTAAATAACACAGATATTTTAAAAGTCGATAGAGAACATTTCTCGTAACTGCATATAACCTTTTGTATAGTAAAACATTTGCCACAACGCCCGCGTCCGTGCCCCACATTCACATCCCATCTTACCACTGGGCATGCCACTCGACACGGCAACTCCTAGCCGTCAGGTACGTCACTAAGCACGCTACCAGGCAGGACGCATTGCTTAGTGACTAAACCTTGCGATCCGTGCCTTGACCCTGCGACAAGGGTTATTCTACTCTGAAGGAGACTAAAAAAAAGTATCGTGCCAAAACAGTACTGGTTTTCTCACTTCTCACACCTTGGACGACCGAAGTCCAGTGTGAAGCTCTGGTATATGGAGGGGTTAATGAGGTTACATGATTTCCTCGTGAATTACACGATGTCAGCTAACGAATCACATGTGAAACAGGAGATAAGTCGTGTAGAGAATTGATGACCTGAATTCGACTTTTATGGTTAAAAAGAGGTCGGCCATTGCTGGCATTGAGAATCCTCGTCATCTCCTTCTTAAGATGAAGCTGAGACAAGTATGAGATCACAGAATAAATGGAAGGACATGTAGATGTTGTACAAGGAAAATCTTACTAAAATGTCATCATCGATCACTTTTAGTAAGATTTTCAATGACACGAAGGAGCGCCTGAACATCTTTACACCTTGATGCTTAATCTGCTTGTCGATTGTCAACAAACTGTTTACTCGAGTTATCGTAACATTTACACGGATTGGAACATCAGTTATACAATGTATAACTGACGGGCATCAATTATACGATGTAGATTACATCTTCACCACAACGCAAGTGGTTGACAAAACGGTGCAACTTCTTCTCACTTCTATCAAATTAGGAAAAACCTCCGTCGAAAAGCGACCTGTTATTTTGTGAGATTCCAATTTCCACTTTTTCCATAATATTTCAAGAAATTAGAAGGCTACCAGAAAAAGAGCAGGAACCTCTAATGTTTTCGAAGATGAGGTGTGGAAACAACAGTGAACTCGCATTTCATGAACCCCCATTCCTTTCATCAAAAAACCAGTTTTTTTATGTGCGATACAACCACAATGATGCTGAGACATTTGCAAAACTCCGCATCACAGATGTCTGCGGTGGGGAACGGCCGCGCCATTGTCCTTTCCGGGGAATAATGTGTTCACCACCACACCACACGGATCTCACCTGTCTCTCATTGAGTTTTCTATCGATCACCACCATCAGTGATGTTTTCTATGTATAAGGTATAAAAGGCAGTGAATAAAGTTAGCGTTGTAGTTTTTTTAATGTCGAGTACAGTTCAAGATTAAAATTATACCCAAAGGCGTCTCCTGAATGGTTCACCATCGCAATGAAGCAAAGAGATTATCTAGGAGTTCAGCTTTTGCGCATAACTACAGCAAACAAATTGGAAGGACCATTGTTTGTTAATCAACATCTAATACGCCCTCATAAGCTTTACATGTTCGCCACTTTCATTCGATGGTGCTGGTCCTCTTTTGATGAGGACCTTAAAGGCGAGGGATAACTATGCAAGAAGAAGGGATATCGTGGAGGTCTATGTGGTCGACAAAATACAAATGTCCAACAAAACATGCGTAACCAGCATTTTGTGCTGGATTCTTCACATAACACTATGAATTCAATGTTTTTCTTCAATAAGCAGACACGAGGTTGTTAATGTAGAATTTATTAGAGTACAATTGCTGACGTTTCGGCGGTTTCGCCTTCTTCAGAGCCGTTTATTTGTTGTAAGTATTTAAGTTAGTCGATGGATATCCGCCACACAGAGTAATACATGGGCGATCGGAGTTTCTGACGCAGGGGCAGGAAGTACCGTTGAGTCGAAAAGGTGGGCACGGAGTCGGGTGTTCTTTGTTCTCTTCACTACATCCGATGCTCTTGAAAGCTCCCCAAGCCGCTCGTTTTCTTCTGCTCAGCTCTAGAGCTAGGTCGTTCATCATATTGATTTCCCGACCTAGATAGATATAACTGAAGCATTCAGAGATATACGTTCCGTTGAGCGTGAATGGGGCATGTGAAACCATTCTGTTCTTCATGGACATCGTTTTTGTGAGATTTAGTCGAAGACCAATCTTTCCACAGGCTTTATCAGAGTCGTTAAGCATACGATCCGCCTGGCTAATGTCTGGTGTTATAAGGACGATGTCATCAGCAAGGCGAAGATGGTGTAACTGCCGACCGTCGATTTTCACTTCAATATTATTCCATTTCAATGTTCGCATGATATATGCGCAAGTAAATAGTAAAAAATGACACCTCGTAGGGATCTCAATAAACCCAATCACGGAAAACTGAAAGGGTGTTCAAACAACTTCCACTAACTTATATTGCAAGAAATTTGTTGTTTCTACGTACTCGGATGTGTTGATGATCCATCCGTCATCATCAGGTGCCCGGATCCAAGCATACTTTCTATTCACTTCGCTGTTCCGTGATCGTTGTTTAGGGTCGTGATCTGTTCCGAGAGTAGTGAAGTCTACGAGTTTCATTCCGAGATCCACAATTCATTCTCAGGTGCGGATAGAGCTAGTTGACTCCAGCTATAAGCATATTCGTCCATTTTATACCCTGTCACCATCGAAGAGCAGTGCGCCTCTTGGGACTGCGCCATAGCGTTCCCCTCTCTCATCTGTCCTCTTATCACATGACCGCCCTCGCTCATCTTTCGCTCTCGATATCTGTTCAAATAACCCTCAAAGAAGAGGTATTTTTTGAAATGCTGAAGAAGTTAGACTAAATGTTTGTGAAGCATTTTCCAAAAAACATCGTTCAAACACTTTTGGGTTGTATGTAACGCTGTGAGCGAGTTGGAATGTCAACTCACAGCCCACATATGTATAATAGAGCTGTTCTGGTGGTGGCGGTCTGTTAAGTCAATAAAGTGAAAGGTGTTAGTCAGTTGCTGGGTAACTTTGTTAAGACGCTTAGTTTTCCAACTGCACTTAAATTATCGCGTATTCTGGAAATTTTATTCCATTGATCAGCATGGAGCTTCTGTGTATGTAACGATATGACTCTGTTTAAGCTAATTACTATTTCTCAGCAGCCTAAACACCACTATAATATATATGCTT